GGGGTTTGGGTTTAGGGGTTAGGGTTTAGGGGTTAGGGTTTAGGGTTGAGGGTTTAGGGTTTAGGGTTTAGTGTGTGTTTAGGGTGTGGGGTGCAGGGTGTCCATCTTGTGTTCTCGACACCACTAGCTTCAAGCTCTTTTCAGGGCCTAGGGTTCAGGGTTTAGGGTTTCCTAAACCCTAAACCCTAAACCTAGACCCAGAGTGTATCGTTCTGAGTTTCGGGTTCCGCGTTTTGGGCTTGGGGGTTGAGGGGTTTAAGGGTTCAGGGTTCCGAGTTCAGGGTTTCCAGAACACACTTCATTCCTTGAGGCTCCTTCTGCCAATCCCAGAATACCTCTTCATATCTCCTGGTTGATAGTAAGGCCCCTTGGATCTTTCAATGCTTTCAAGTTTTTCCTGAATTACCCTAAGCTCTAAACCCCGCTTGTAGTTTTGCCGAACGTCACGTCTAGTCTTAAATTGGGGGTTGCACTGCCTGGGTGTGCTTTTTGCAAAATCGTGGGCCTACCCCCCCCCCCCCCCCCCCCCCCCCCCCCCCCCCCCCCCACCCCCCCCCCCCAACCCCTGCAGCTTTACTTTTTTATTAATGAAGGGTTTGGAGTTTAGGCGTGGGGGGGGGGGGGGGGGGGAAGCTCCAAAAAAGGAAGAGTCATGACCCCAACGTCTCAAACCCAAGCCACCATTGAGGGTTTAGTCTGAGGCCCGGGTCCACAGATCCAAACCCCAAACCCTGGCCCTAGACCCTAAACCCTAAACCCTGGCCCTAAACCCTAAACCCTAAACCCTAAACCCTAAACCCTAAACCCTAAACCCTAAACCCTAAACCCTAAACCCCTTCTTGCTGATCCACCAGGCCATCCCAGATTGCCGCCGATCTCTGCAGCGATCTCCTGGAGCGGGCTGCTGAAATCTGGGCCAAGAGCCCCCCGGAAAGCCACCCAACAAAAGCCGGGTTTAGGGTTTAGGGTTTAGGGTTTAGTGTTTAGGGTTTAGGGTTTAGGGTTTAGGGTTTAGGGTTTAGAGATTGGGGTGATGTGAAGCGGAGGGGGTGGGAGGTAGGCTGCTCCACCTACGACAATACACTCGAATAGAGACCAAAAAAGTGCCTTTTGGACTCCTACACTCCTGCACCCACACATCATTTTGAGCCACCCGGAATCCTAAATCCTAAACCCTAAAGCTCAAACCCTAAACCTTAAGCCCTAAATCCTAAACGCTAAGTCCTAAACCCTGAGCCCTTTCAAACCCTAAACCCTGAACCCTATTAAACCATATTAGACCCTATTAAACCCTATTAAACCCTATTAAACCCTATTAAACCCTATTAAACCCTATTAAACCCTATTAAACCCTTTTAAACCCATTTAAACCCTTTTAAACCCCTTTTAAACCCTTAACCCTAAACCCTAAACCCTGCTTCAGCCCAGGGGTTGAAGGTCCGGCCTGGCTTCAGAACCGTTTTTGGGGGCTCGAGGTTTTCTATCTTGAGAAGAGCTCAGGGCTTTGTTTACTTTGTCATAGTTGGGTATCATTGTATGTGTTTAAGGGTACTGAAAACCCAACAAGGAATAAAGAGTTAGTTTTTTGATATTTTCCCAACAATGAACTAGTTTAGGGAGTTGAGGGTTTAGGGTTTGGGGGTTTAGGGCAGGGTTCAGGGTTCAGGGTTTAGGATTTGCCGCGTGACTGTTTTCAGACTTGTGTTGCCGTCTGAGATCGCCGTTCTAGACCCCCCCAAGCGCCGCCCCAGGCCCCTAAGAACCTGTCAGCCTCGCCTCAACAACCTCGGGTTCAGGGGTTCAGGGTTAGGGGTTAGGGGTTTGGAGCCCCCTGACCCTATATAAACTCAACCGCCCTAAACCCTGAACCCAAAAACCCTAAACCCGAAATCTGCACACCAAAGTCCCCCACATCCTCAAGCCTCTGCCCTTTGAACCCTCTTGAGCGCTTGTGACTCAAACGCGATCCTTCCTACCTACGACAGCCTAGGGTCCAGAGCCCTTATGCCCTTTTTTGGGCCTTTAGGTTCCCTGTAAAGCCGTCTAAACCAAAAAGGGTACCCTTTTCCTTCCCGGGTTACTCTTGGGCCTAGAAGCAAGAAGCATCCAACCCCTGAAGCCTTCAACCCTTAGCGCGCAAACCGAAACTCCCCCAAGCCCAAATTGGCAGGGTCGGAAGTTAGAAGGTTGCAACCAGCTAAGACAAGCAGCTTTCTTACAATCTTGCGCTAGACCCCTACACCCCTAAACCCCCAACACAGAATAGCGCCAAAACGTCAAATGCCCCCAAAAACCCTAACATCCTCTGAGCACACAAGCTGCTAAATCCAAACCTCGAACAAAAAACAAAACTCGAAACCCTGAACCCTAAACCCACCCAAACCCTACCCTCCAGGAGCTCTTGAACGTGGAGGCCATCCTGCATGGGTTTAGAGCTGAGGCGTGTAAGGCTAGGGTTTTTTGTTCCCCCAGGCTCTGGGGTTTGGGGTTTACAAATGTAGGTTTGAGTTGCTTAAAGTCTAGGGATTTAGGTTCGTGGCTTTGGGGTTTAGGGTTTAGGGTTTGGGGTGGAGGGCTTTAGGCCGGGTGTTCCTTCGTTGCTGCTGCCATGCCACCCGGTCATAGACAACTTACGCCCGATCGTGGTGATTGGATGCCCCTGGCCCTAACCCTACACCCCAATCCCTTGGGGACCACAGGAACCAATAAATCGGGATCTTAGATGCCCTGTACTACTACAATTCCTACTAAGGTAATATGAATCCTAAGCCATCTAAGCCCTGAACCCTAAACCCTAAACCCAAACCCTAGCCCTAAACCCTAAACCCCAAACCCTAGCCCTAAACCCTAAACCCCAAACCCATTTAGGGTACCTTTGGTCCGCCAGGTCCCTGAACCCTGAACCCCAAACTCCTAAACCTTGGAGGTTCAGGGTTCAGTGGACTTGTCCGTGCTCTGCTTTCTAGGGACAACTAGGGTTTAGGTAGAGTTTATGGGGATTATGGGGCTTCTAGGATGTATATGATTTGTAGGGTTTATGGGGTTTAGAGGGTTTTTTTAGGATTTGTGTGATTTGTGGGGTCTATGGGGTTTGTAGGGTCTATGATGTTTTTGCCGCCCGATCAGGACGCTGATTCCAGAACGCAAGTGGCCCGGATTTTGGGCTTGTTGGACTTCTCGCCGCTCAGCTGAGTTTTTAACCCCGGAACCCTACACTCTACACCCTAAACCTTGGTTTAAAAGCTGCATTAGCCCTGAGCCCTGAGCCCTGAGCCCTAAGCCCTAAGCCCTAAGCCCTAAGCCCTAAGCCCTAAGCCCTAAGCCCTAAGCCCTAAGCCCTAAGCCCTAAACCCTAAACCCTAAACCCATTTCAAGGGCCCAGACTAAAGGACCATGTAACTACCCTAAGATAAGTCGGAGCTCCCCGCCAACCCAAACGCCTCAGTCCGTTCCGCCCTGGGCAATCTGAGGTAGATGCGCGCGCCTTTCAGGAAGCCTCGGCGGACGAGCCTTACCAACTTCGCGCCTCAGTCTTTAAAGGGGTTCAGGGTTTAGGGTTTTCGGGTTTAGGATTTAGGGTTTAGGGCTAGGGTTTAGGGTTCAGGGTTTAGGGTTTTCGGGTTTAGGATGTAGGGTTGCGGGGTTATTGTAGGGTTAGGGTTTAGGGTTTTGCGGGCTAAGGGATGAGGGTCCTTTGTGCACCTGCTCTTCAGCTGGCTGTAGCACCAGCGAGCACATCTCCGGTGAAGCATAGAGAAATACAAAGCCTTAATTTTGTATACATACATGTTTTCAGATCCACGCACCTCGATAGATACACAGACACAGAGACACATTCCTGCATTCTGACTTTGTTCGGCGCACGACAGCTGAGCCACGCTTCAGCCTTCTTTGCTGCTGGGGCCCGGTGTGCTTCAGGATATAGTACGTGAGTCAGGTGCAAGGATGAAGGCTTCAGGATTCAGGGGTCAACTGCTTCTTTTCTTCTGTCACTCTTTTCTTGCTAGCCTGCTACAAGTGTAGCCTCGAGCGGACCTAAAAACCCCAAACCCTAAACCTAAAGCCTAAGCCCTAAACCCTAAGCCCTAAACCCTAAACCCTAAACCGCAACCAAGGCGCCTCCAGAGCGGGTTTGATATCTTGGGCCGCAGCTTGCAGTGGGCCTGGGATGCCCTGACCCAAGCAGCCGGAACCAAAGGAGCTCCAAGAGACAAGGCAGCTCGAGCTCCTGGGGGAGGCAGGCCCTATGGAACCAGCGCACCATCTTGCGCAGCCGCAAGCTGCGCGGTCTATCGTGGGCGGAGGTGACAGGCGACTGTAGATCGTGAAGGATGAGCCGGAGGTGGATCTGCGAACCCATCGACGTGGTCACCGATGTGGTCAACACCCACAACGCGGCTGCGCGTCGCTGGAAGCCTGAAGATGCTGCTCATATATCCCCGGCTCGCCTATAGTGGGCGGATGCCGAGAAATTGCCTAGAGCCATTGATTTTCCGACCCCCTTCCCAAGACATCCCATGCAGATCGGTACAAAAAAGAATCACACTAGAACGCCTGGCACGTCCCGGATGCCCAAACCGCCTTCAACTGAAAAAGTAGCCGAGGTGAGCTTGAGATTTGGGATTTGTTTTTTGGGGCTTCTGGCACTGGCTCTGCAGCAAGTCAATGGTAGACACTTGATCTGCAAGACAAGGCAACCCTTCACATGCGCAGCACAGCAAGGGCAAATGCACCGACGCATCCGTCGACTCCTAGCTAGGACAAGACAGCTCACACAACATTCGCCCGGCGCCGTTGCTTGAGCAGCTCTGCCTGCTTCAGCACCTTGACCGCATGCGAGCCTTCACGTGCATGTGTGTGAATTCGAACGATCTGCATCCGTGGGTCATATACATAACACAATGGTATCAATAGTCCGTATATCCCTTCTGCATAAGTATTCTCAAGCCTGTAAAACAGAACCTCTGCGGTATCCCCAAATTGCACGACAGGGCTGGGCCATGCGGACCTCGAAGTTTGCGACGGCGCCCCTTGCCTTCGAGGACGACGCGGAGGACTTCAGTGCTTTTTGAGCCATTTTTAAGCCGAGACCGATGATGAACACAAGTGATCTGAATTATGGAAATGGTTTAGGGTTTAGGGTTTAGGGTTATAAAAATGGTTTAGGGTTTAGTGTTTTCGGGTTGTGGTAGGGATGGACACAAAGCTGTGTTTCTTGTCAGGGGTTTCCAGAACAGTGGAGTCAGCTTGTTTGAGCACGTGGATCTTACAGTGTTGCTACGTTCTTCGGATGCCCCCATGTGACAATCCTGTGCAGGCGGAGGTCGTCGCTTGGCTGAAAACTCAATTCTCCGGTCGGTGCCAGCTTAACTGGTGCTGTGGCAGCGTTTTAGGGTTTAGGGTCTAGGGTTTAGGGTCTAGGGTTTAGGGTTCAGGGTTTAGGGTTTGAGGTTTGGGGTCGGCAGATGCCCTTTGTTACAGTTGACGGTTGGAGCTTCAGAATAGGTACGATTGCCATAGCCTGATGGTTCTGATGCCTTAACACTTGCTCTCAGATGGGGGTAGGGGTTTAGGGTTCAGGGTTTAGGGTTTTGGGTTTAGGGTTTAGGGTTTAGGGTACCCCTAATATACCCCCAAAGTACTCTAATCCTTAGTTATCGGAATCCCAAAACGGGTACCCCTATTTTCGGAACCCCCCCCCCCACCCCAAACATCGGGACCCGGCTTTTGTCCAGAAAGCCAGGCGCGATTGGAGAAGCTGCGCGAAGATGACCCCATCGCACTGCAGGAGCTCGGGTAAGTGGTGCTCCGGGATGCAGGGGGCACTCGCAGAATAGGGGAGAAGCTCTAAAGGAGCTTAGGGTTTGGGGTGGGACGACTTGTTCACAAGAGATGGAGGGAGAGGAAGAGAGGCAGAGAGAGAGAGAGAGGCTCTCGACCTACAAACTTCATTTGGCGTTGCAGGTTGTTCCTCCAAGGGCACGATGTCATGTAGCCAAAAGGCCTTTAACTTGGACCCAATTAAACCCCAAAACTGCGAAAACCCAAAACCATGAAACCCGAAACCCCCAAACCCAAAAGAAACTAAACCCCCAAAACCCTAAAACCCGAAACCTTAAACCCAAAAGTCACCAAACCCCAAACCCCAAACCCCACATCCCCAAAAGCCCAAAAACCTAAAAGCCATAAAGCCCCAAAACGCACAAACCCTCAAGCCCTCAAACCCCAAACCCTACAACCCTAAATCCGAAAGCCGAATCCCTAAAAACCCCAAACCGCAAAACCCTAAAACCCCCCAAGCCCTAAGACCCCCAAAAAGTCCACAACCCCAAAACCCCTAAATCCCTAATCCCGAAACCCCATGCTGATCCCCGAGGATGCGGTCAACACCTCACGAGCACTGGTGGATGCCGTGAAGGCCGTGGGGCTGCACTGGGGGTTTAGGCTTAGGGTTTGGGGTTTAGGGTTTCGGGCTTAGGGCTTAGGGCTTAAATTTTTAGGGTTTAGGCTTAGGGCAGTTTAGGATGAAGCATGTAGTGTTTAGGGTTTAGGGTTGAGGGGCTTCTTGCGTTGCAGTCAGCTCTTCGCGAGAAAACTAGAATCTTCATGTGGGTCTGTTGGCTTGCTGGGCATTGTTGAAAGTAGCTCCCTACAAGGCTTGGCTCTAGTGTCTTGGACGGCGAACCTACCAGTACGGGCTTGCATGGGATCAGCCAAGAAGCAAGGAACTTGGTTTGGCCCTAAACCCTAAACCCTAAACCCTAAACCCTAAACCCTAAACCCTTGACCCCCAACTGCTCTGCTCAGAGCATCGTTGTTCTGCACGCAGATTCCAGATGGGTGTGAGCTAGCTTTAGGGTTTCCACTCAGCAGGACAACGACATCGATGAGCTCAGACGAGTGGTGGCCAACGCAGATGAGGGCGAGTTCATACAGGCCTGGAATACTTCGCCGGCTAGAGCAACAAAGAGTTCCCTTTTCAGGATCCATATGTGCAGTTCTCTGCACTATGGTCACTTTTTGGGTGCCTTAGACTATGGTCCCCTTTTTGGGGTATCCTTAAGAATAGGGGCCGCCTTATAAATCAGGACCCCAAAGCTGGGCCCTTGTTGGTTAAGTTTTTTTCATTTTTGTCACATCAAATTCCCAAAAAAGGAATCAAAAATGATCATTTTTAAGACAACCCCAACAAGGAAGCAGAAACGTGACCATTTTAAATTCCCAATGAGGAATCAAACATGACCATTTTTAAGACAACCCCAACAAGGAAGCAGAAAAGGGGACCATAACTGTAGAGAAGTGATCGTATGACTGAGACCATCCTTGAAGGCCTTCATCCTGCAGGCCTTCGTCCTCGCGCTCAAGGCCACTTGGATTAGGGGTTTAGGGTTTGGGGTTTGGGGTTTAGGGTCTAGGGTTTAGGGTTTAGGGTTTGGGGTTTAGGGTCTAGGGTTTGGGGTTTAGGGTTTGGGGTTTAGGGTTAGGGTTGAGGGTTTGGGGTTCAAGTGGCCCATGGGTTCTGAGATTCCAGGCCCCACACTTCTTCAACGACTTCCCCTGCTTGGACAAATTCATGGTTTTCATGGTTGAACCTGTTAGGGACCCTTAGATTCTTGCATTCGTATACTTCCTAGGATGCCCGGTAGTACCCTTATTTCCTTTTTTTTTTTTTTTTTTTTTGGGGGGGGGGGGGGTTAGGTTCCCTTCTAAACCCCTTTAAGCAAAAAAGGGGCACCCTTTTAAGCGCAGGTTACTGGGCAGCCTAGCTTCTACGCGACTATGTCACTATGAATACTATGCTGTCATATTATGCAGCCGAAGTGTACGAGGGCCCTTTTTGGAAATTGCTGTGTAGACGAATCCAATCGAGCCCTGGACCTTGGGATGTTCCCTCTTTTTCTAGCAGTCCTTAATGGGGATGATAGTGCCGATCATAATCCGACTTAAGGATTGTTGGTCTAAGGGGGAACATCCCAACCTGGACCCTAAGCCCCAAGACGCCAAACAAAAAGAACCGAAGGCCCTATAGACCCGGAGACCTGGATACCTTTCCGCTCTATGCCCGATATATAAGCCCTTAGCCCTGGGCCCTAAACTGCCGACTTCCCAAAACCGTTATACTACTCTAAACCAGGTTACAAACCCAACACCCCGAAAAAACCCGGAGCCCTACAGCACCGGCAGTGAGCCAAACCAAAGCTCGAACCAGCCCGCCACCTTGGGATGTTCCCTCTTGTACTAGCAGTCCTGAATGAGGATTATAGTACCCCCTACTATAATCCCTATGAAGAACTGTTAGTATAAGAGGGAACATGCCAACCCACCCACCATTTCCCAGGCCTCCTTGCTGGAAATCACTCAGCAGCCCGTGGCTCAACTTCGGGGATCCGCCCTAGGATGGAGGGTTTAGGGTTTGGGGTTCATGGTTTAGGGTTTAGGGTAGGGCCCTTTAAGATATTGACGCTTTTCTTTTTCGTTTCTTCACTTCTTGGGTTTGAGGAGGTTCTGTTTTATTTCCGCATCTTTCCGAGGGGCTTCGGGGTGAGGGGAGAAGGCCCTCTAGAACGCCTAAACCCCCAAGTCCCTAAACCCTAAACACTAGACCGTGGGCGAGACAATTTCGGGACCGACTCGCGCGCATAGCGAGGAGGGAAGCGCAGATCTCCGCACCGAGGGGGAGATCGCGTTCGCCGAGAGTGGCAGCAGCATCGTCGTCATCGAGACCTACAAGTACAGCGGTGGTAGGGCAAGGGGAGATGGTGGTCAATGACGGGGTGCTCGCGGTGGAGAATGGGTTACTGGCGGTTGAGGATGGGCTGCTGGCGGTTGAGGATGGCGCGCTTGTGGTTGCGGATGGGTCGCTGGAAAGTGCTGGGGGATCCACAGAAGTGGTGATGGTGGCCCATGAGGGGGAGGAGGCGGCCTGTGGAGGTGGTGGGGGGGCTGGTGAAGCTCGAGGAGGTGAAGTTCGTGGAAGTAATGGGGATGAGGAAGTAGACAGTGACGCCACCACGCTGCTTGAGTTCCCCGTGTCGTCGTTCTGGACTGCATCGCTGAGTACAAGCACTACGTCCTCGAGCCCATCGACCTCGTCTACACCGGGGGCGTCCTCTGCTACGACTGGGTCGTCCTCCACGACTGGATTGTCCTCTACCACATCGGGGGCGTCCTCTACGTTGACGTCGTTCCGGGCTACATCGCCGTGTATCAGCACTACCTCTACTGCACCGGGGGCGTCCTCTCCTGTGACTGGGTCGTCTTCTACCACTGGGTCGTCTTCTACCACATCGGGGGCGTCCTCTCCTGTGACTGGGTTGTCCTCTACCACTGGGTTGTCTTCTACCACATCGGAGGCGTCTCCTACCACGTCGGGGACGTCTCCTGCGCCGACGTTGTCAATGGAAGTTTGAGGGGGTGCAAGTAGTGGTGGTGGTGATGCAGACCATGGGTGAGAAAATTTGAAGCTCAACATGAGGGTTGTGAAGGTAAAAAATGGTGGTGGTGGTGATGCTCGTCATTATGTTCTACCAGTCTGAGTGGGGAAAGGCCATTAAGCAACACAGTTTCACGGACCGGACAGCATTATTGCTGCGCACAGGTGATTCCGGTTAAAAAAAAACACTAGACCCTAAAACCGGAACCCGGAACCCTGCCTCTCCTCAAAAAAACATCACTCTAAGGTTTTGGGCTCCCTTGACCCTGAAGCCGTCAAAACACTGTAAGGCCTCTACAGAAAAAAAACGCCCTGAACCCTAAACCCGGAACCGCCACCTAGTGGCCCAAACCCCAAGAACGGCCCCCTGTAAACCTCGAAAGCTCGTGCTTTTCAGCGTTAGCCCATAAGCCCGGCCAACGCCTAAACTCCAAGGGCCCCCCCAAAAGGTCCCCAAAGCAACTTAAGCCCGAACCTTTAAATTTTGCAGCCTAAGCCACACTCCCTTGAAGCCCTGAAGCGCTTGAGGACGACCCCGAAGCCCTTGAGTACGAAATCTTAAACCGCTTGCGCCCCTGAAGCCATAGGGTTTTGGGTCAAACCCTAAACCCTAAACCCTAAACCCTATACCCTATACCCTAAACCCTAAACCCTAAACCCTAAACCCTAAACCCTAAACCCTAAACCCTAAACCCTCCCCATAGGTCCTAAGAAGCCACAAAAGGCTGGTCGACTGGGGAGTGCCCTTGCACAACCCACAGCTCTCCCAGGCCTAGAGCTTAGGGATTTCAGGGATTAGGGTTTAGGGTTTAGGGTTTAGGGTTTAGGGCTTAGGGTTTAGGGTTTAGGGTTTAGGGTTTGGGGTTTGGGGTTTGGGGTTTGGGGTTTGGGGTTTGGGGTTAGGGTTTGGGGTTCAGAGTTTTGGGTTTAGGGTTTGGGGTTTGGGGTTCGGGGTGTGGAGTTTCGGCTTCAGGGTTTTTGGCGCCGGTAGGTCGCCATGAGACTTTCCAGGGGCTTAGGGCCTCGGGTGTTGGGGTGTTGGGGTTTGGGGCTTCGGTTTGGGGGGTTTAGGGTTTGAGGTGCGGGATTTAGGGTTTGCTGCCCAGCTGGCAAAGTGTAATACGCAGGGGTTTAGGGTTTAGGGTTCAGGGTTCAGGGTTTGGGGTTTCGCAATTATGGGCTCTCTTTTGGCTCTTGGGGGGACACTCGACTGCAGTGTATTCCCTGTCGTTTAGGGTACCAAGAAGGCCCACAGTTCAGCTCTTTAGTCTTTAGGCGTTGCGGGGTTTAGGGCTTTAAAGGGCAACGGCCTGGAAGGGGCTTGCTTGGTTCCGAACAGGGAGGCGGAGGCCCGAATTCCTGGTAAACTGATGTGGGCGGTTTAAGATAGGGGACCCCCCAATGTAGATCCCCAACTAGTAGGCTTCCCTTGTAATTAATTAGGACCCCAATAACGTACCCCCAATTTAGGAAGCCCAAAACCCTCAGAGAAATGCATGGAGTTGGGGTGTAGGAGTTCCTCTTTCCTAAACCCTAAAGCCTAAAGCCTAGAAGTGTCAACTCCTCTCGGCCCCCCTAGGCACTGCACCTGGTCTGTGAGCTCGTTGACCGTGACAACTTCAGCAACTCCTGGCGCATCGTGGTGCCCCCATGGAATTCATGCAGTTTCGTAGGGTGCACTTGGAGTTTCATGGGTAGTTAAAGTATGTCTATAGGTACGGTAGCTATACTTATACCTATATTTAGGATTCTTATATAACCCTACTTATACCTACCCATGAACCTCCAAGCATGGCTTATCTGAGTGGGTTTTCTACTTGTCTCGCCCAACTTTTGCCGCAGAAATCCCTCACGGATGGCAACTTGGAGGGCAGCCTGGACATCAACGCCCCGCGGCACTCGGACGGGGTGCGCACGGGGGGTGGGAGTGGCTTAGCATCGCCCTTCGTGCCATAGGCAAATATACATCCACCATACCGAGACGTACAAAGATATAGATCTCATGTGTGTATGTGAACAAATATAGTCAATATAAATAGGATATTCTAATAACCATAAGAAATATATATATATATATATATAGTTAAAACTAATCATAAGAAATATATAAAAATATGTTAAAAACAATCATAAGAAATATATAAAAATTTGTTAAAATAATCATAAGAAGATATGTATGTATAGGTTGTCTCTTCATGCCGCCCTGGCCTGCCAGTGGACGCCGCTCTGCATCGCCTGCGCCGATGCATGTCTGCCCATGGCCTTTAAGCTTCTCGAGCCGCGCCGGCGAGGGCTTAGTGGGTTTGGGGTTTAGGGTTTAGGGTTTAGGGTGCAGGGTGCAGGGTTTAGGGTTTGGGGTTTTGGGTTGTGGGTTTTGGGTTTAAGGCTACACGGTCCTTGGGTCCATGTTCAGCTGAGGATTGTTACAAGTTTGGCCACCATTGCCCACTGCACAGACCATTCCAGGATGTATTTCCAACGATGTAAAGATGGCACTGGTGAAGTCGAATGTGCCAATATTGGACGCGCTTTAGTGCTGGCCCCTGTTTAAAGTCAAGTTTGGGACACTGTGACTTTGCGACGCCTGCAAACCCTATGAACCCTAATGGGATAGCCCTAAACCCTAAACCCTAAACCCCAAACCCCAAACCCCAAACCCTAAACCCTGAACCCTAAACCCTAAACCCTGAACCCTAAACCCTAAACCCCCCAAACCCTAAACCCTCAACCCTCTAAACCCTAAACCCTAGTAACGCATGGCCAGGCTCAAGGCAGATCCGAACACGATCACCCGGGCCAATGAGACCCCGCTGCCGGGCCTCAGCTGCCCGATTGGGGTTCTAAACCTTGGTTTAGGGTTTAGGGTTTAGGGTTTAGGGTTTAGGGTTTAGGGTTTAGAACCTCCAAACGTTAGAAAAACCCTCTGAACCCCTACATCCTAAGCACCCGAAGCCTAAGCATCTCTAAGCATGTCTAAACCCTCTAAACCCTTTAAAACCCTACACCCAAAGCAAATCTAAGGGCCCGAAGCCCACACTCAAGCTCGCGGCACCCCCAGGGCGCTGGCGAAGCGAAGCCGCGATGACGACAGCGAGGAGCAAAAGGAGGCTCGAAAACCCTAAGGGTTTAGGGTTTAGGGTTTAGGGTTTGGGGTTTAGAGCTTAGGGCTTAGGGTTTAGAGCTACACCCAAACCCAAAACTCGGGTTGGAACCATGCACCCTTATTATGTATAGTGTATGCAAGGGTCATATAACAGGGGACCCAAATTAAGGGCCCATGATTCGGATCCCCTTGCAGTTGTAGCTCGGCAGGCGCGTGGCATCATCTCCAATATGCTGCGGTCGTACGGCGGGCAAGCGCCCTGCTGGAAGATTTAGGGTTTAGGTTTTAGGGTTTAGGTTTTAGGGTTTAGGGTTAAGGGTTTAGGGTTCAGGTATGGGTTGTTGTTGTTGTTATGTCGGAGTTGTAAGGGGATAGCATCGATAATCGCGAATTGGTTGTGAGGTTCTTAGTAGGGGAATGAGGGGACTAGGGCCCTATATACACCCTTTAAGGCATTATATTAGGGCTCTTTCAGGGATTCCTATTTCTACCCTTTAAGGGATAATTATAAGGGTACCTCCTTCCCTCGTTCCCTACGAAGAATCAGCCAGCAAGGACACCTGCAAGGATGCTCTGCGGATGCTGAGAAAGACCAGCCAGTCTTCAGCCCCGAGCCAGAGCCAGGAGCGGGTGATTCCGGTGGATTTAGTTCGGGAGTTTAGGGTTTAGGGTTTAGGGTTTAGGGTTTAGGGTTTAGGGTTTAGGGTTTAGGGTTTAGGGTTTAGGGTTTAGGAAGCTGGTAGGGTTTTCTTGGGACCCCATCTACCTGCACTCTTACGGGCTATACCTACTAGATAGGGGGGTACGTACGGCTAAACTTAAATAAATGGGGTTTCAGGTAGGATTTTAGTTGGGTTTAGGGTTTTGGGGTTAAGGGAACATAGACAAATATAGGGCTTTAGGGGAAACATAGACAAATATGGGGGTTTAGTTAGGTTTAGGGTTCAGGGTTTTGGGGAACATATGACATTCGGAATATAGCGGTTTAGGGGAAACACTTGTGTTGGTTGGCAGGCGCTTAAGGAGGAGGTGGTCACGGCCCCGAGCTTACCTGACATGCCACAGCTGCCCAATGAGTTTTGCCGCATCATTGCCACATCATGGTCGCTTGAACCGCTCACTTCGGTAACTGGCCGGTAACTGGGTTGCCCAGGAACCTAGGGATTCGGGTTTAGGGTTTCGGGTTTAGGGTTTAGGGTTTGCCACATTTGCTGTTTTCGTTGTTTTGAGCTTCCTTTACCCTACTTTTTGGAGTAGACCCCGGGAAAGAAGCACAAAGGGTTTCGGGTTTAGGGTTTAGGTACCTTTTAGGTATAAGTAGCTAGGAACCCAGAACCAACAAACGTATCAAAGTACAGTGCTCCAAAGCCCAGTTTATCGCATCTCTGGGCGCATGTTGCTTTTGGATTTGTGGGCCCGACCAGAGGGGGGCGGGGGCGGGGGGGGGGGGGGGTTTAGGGTTTAGGGTTTGGGGGCAACATGCCAACCTCTCTTCAGTCCCAGCAATTGCCGACCCGGTTGAGATGGCCCACCCCCCCCCCCAGAGCGGAAGTCGGCTTTCTAGCTGCTAAACCTCACTAACTGCAAAGCTGAGGTGCCCGCGACCAGCTCTCAGTCGCCCCTCTGCTTGAGTTGGGTTTTGGGTTTAGGGTTTAGGGTTTGGGGTTTGGGGTTTGGGGTTTAGGGTTTAGGGTTTGGGGTTTGGGTCTTAGGGTTCGGATGCCGGGTTTTGGGATGTTATGCCTCTGGCTCAGTGGGAGCTCTTATTAAAAAGCGTGGCTGTTCTGTGCGAAGCCCACGGGCTCCGCCACCTTTTTGTTAAGGAGCATTGCTTTAACTGATAAGAGGAGCCCTAAACCCTAAACCCTAAACCCTAAACCCTAAACCCTAAACCCTAAACCCTAAACCCTAAACCCTAAACCCTAAACCCTAAACCCTAAACCTTACATCCATTATGGGCATCCATAGGGGCCGCAAGCAATGCTTAAGGAGTCTTCTCTAACTAGCCTGGGGTGATGGAGTCTCTGGGAACATGTTTCTATGACGCTTAGGGCCTAGGGTTTAGGGTTTAGGGTTTCGGGTTTAGGGCTTAGGGCTTAGGGTTTACAAGGTTCAGGGTTTAGGGTTTAGGGGCCTTTCCTTTGGAGCCCTGCCTGATGGACCATGGTAAGGCGCACGAGATATCGAGGATGAGCAGTGATGGGCGCCCTAAACTCCTAGGAGACATGCTTGCAGGGTTTAGGGTTTAGGGCAGCTAAGAGTTTTGGATGTATAGGGTTTGTTGTGGACGGGGGGTCCATGCAGCTTCACTCGTCTCTGGCTCCCGTCCCTGTGGCAATGCAAGATCACGTCGAAGTAGTCGAGTTCTCTAAGCTATGGTCCCCTTGGGTTTAGGGTTTAGAGTTTATTTTTATAGTTGAACAGCGAAGCAAAGAGGGACCCCCCAAGTGCAGTAGCCTCAAGAGCTGCGCGCCAATAGAAGTTGTACGATTGATTGGCTTGTCAAGACTATTGTGTCTCAGTGCGTTATCGTTGACCATGTGCACATGCTGTAATGTAAGATGTTGCGAGTTTCACAACTCTGCGTGTAGAATTCGCTGCATTGCGCCTAAGAGACTGGCAGTGGCAGCAAAGCCCGGGCTCGACAAGAGGCGCCTTACACACAGACCATGGCTTTCATTCTGTGGACTGGCTCAGCCAGGCATGCAACATGTTGTCGAAGACCTCACGTCACGTCACAGCCGCATTTCCAGATGCCCCTAGCTCACGATGAACTGCAAGGCCTACTGGCAAGCAACACACCTTAGACACGACTGCTCACCGAAGAAAGTCGAAACCTTTCTCCACCTCCTTTGCTGCCTGCTCTGATCATGGCTGGGCAAGCCGACAAGAAGCAGGCACCACCTGCGCCGTTGTCTAACCTTTAAGTCTGCCAGGTTACTGGACGGCTAAGAAGATGTTGAAACCCCTCCGGCGAATTCTGGGAACATCTTGGTTTTGCCAGCATTCCTAGTTCTGCGATAAACCCATACTAGCTTGAGGGTTTGGGGTTTAGGTTTTTGGATTTAAGCCTTAGGGTTCAGGGTTCAGGGTTTCTCCAACCAGGAGTTTGAAGGTTGAAAGCAAAGGGGGGGTGTCATTTCGGATCGATTCTGGCGGTGTAGGATTCAGGGTTCAGGGCTTAGGTTTTAAGGGTTTTTTGGGCACCGACGTTTCGACATTCGCAGTCTCGGAGAGGAATCGCATAGTTGCTTTTGACTTTTCGACCTCAAACCCTGAGCCCTCCATTTCCCCAATCCCCTAAATTAAATGCCCCCCACAGCTTCTGAAGTTCAACCTAGCTTTAGACGCAGCCAGTTGTACAAGTTGTTGCCTATCATGTGGCATGGGCTTTCGATTGGGCAAGAGTTTGAGCATTCAGATGTGCAAGCTGAGCCAACACAAAACCGACAGAAACCCGGACCTAGCCTCATGTCGACTTGCTTCCAGATGCCAGAAGAAATCGTATAGCTTCTCCATCCGACCGGATGCTGTGCATCCGCATGCTCTCGGGGGAAGAGCTGACAAGCATACCTGTGAAAGAGGCGAGGAGCGTCAGCGAAGTGAAGCGGCTCCTGCACCAGCTTCTTAGTAGCTGAGTGAGTACACTTTACACCGTTTGGGATACTAGAATCCCCCTATAAAACTCAAAGTGTACACTTTTGGGGGGCTTATGGACTCAGCAAGTAAGGCTTCATGGACTGCCGCCGCGCTTCAGGCAGAGGCTGATCCTCCGCGGCTCCAGCCCCCTGGTGGCCACATGAACCCTAAAAGAGGGGGTCATATACCCTATACTACTATAAATCCTATTCAGGAATATGAACCCTAAACCCTTGTAGGGTTCATTTCTGGTCATATACCCTCTACTACTACAAATCCTAATTATTCAGGAATATGAACCCTAAACCCTTGACTAGGAATCATTGTCCTCTCCAAGGCCTAAACGATGCTGAGAAGCTCGACTCGCCCCTGGATCTTGCCCTTGTGGTGCTGCCGTTCTCCAGAGCATCAACGTCTCAGGCGGCACAGGCCAAAGAATAATTAGTCCCCATATTCCCCTTGTAAGGAAGAGTTGCTTGGGTGTTTTTGAGAAGAATTAATCCCCATACTACCCTTATAAGGAAGAGTTTTTTTTTTTTTGAGGGGGGGGGGGGTTCTGAAGCAATTAGTAATGGTGCTTCCTTTCTCGAGTGCATCAACGTCTCAGGCGGACGAGCTCATGGCGGCTGCCGAAGATGGCTCAGTGGACAAGGCGGGCAAATTGCAAGATGACCATGCGATTCGGGTGTAAAGAACCGGATAGGGAGAACACTAAACCAACCCTGTGGACCCCCAAACCCCTAAACCCCCTAAACCCCCGAAACCCCCCTAAACCCCTAAACCCCCCCAAACCCCAAACCCTAACCCTAAACCCCCTAACCCTAAGCCCCACATGAACCCCGATGATCGGACCACCTGAAAGAAAGGTCGAGTCTATGCTCCAGCTGCCCTTGGATCCCAATGTGGCCACAGCGGGCGAGACGCCGCTTTTCTGGGCCTCTGGCTTTGGCCACTCGGTAGGCCCTTAAGGACATCTCTTTAATTTTCCCTTGTTGGGTTTATACGAGGACCTCATTTAGGAAGGTAGGCCCTTGGGACATTTTCCCCCCTCGTTGGGTTTAAGAGGACCATATTTAGGAATGTAGGCCCTTAAAGACCTTTCGTTGATTTTCCCTGATTGGGTTTATAAGAGGACCATTATTGAGGAATATTCATGTTTATTTTCCCTTATTGGGTTGAAGATGACCCTATTTAGGAATTAGTATTCTTTCAGGGGGTTCGAAGGGCCAACCGAGGCCATGTCGAAGTCGTGCATCTGTTGTTGGAGGCTGGTGCCGACAAGGACGTGGCCGACGAGGAGGGCCACACATCCCTGATGGAGGCATCGAAATAACAACAATAGTACTAACAATTGCTATTATTATAAGAATAATAGTAGTAAAGTTACAAATAATAGTAATGATAGTAACAGTAGTAATATTTACTTTTATTATTAGAATATGATTAATCAAATTATAAGTAATAGTAAGGACAAGAATAATGATCCCTGATGGAGGCAGCTCACCGAGGCCACGTTGAGGTGGTGCGCTTCCTTGTGGAAGCTGGCGCCGACAAGGATGTCGCCGACAAGGAAGGCCACACAGCCATGATGTGGGCTGCTCAAGAGGGCCACGTTAAGGTCGTGCGCTTGCTGGTGGAGGCCGGCGCAGACAAGGGCGTCGCCAGCAACGAAGGCGACACAGCCCTGATGTGTGCAGCTGAGGAGGGCCACGTTGAGGCCGTGCGTTTCCTCGTGGAGGCTGGCGCCGACAAGGATGTGGCCGACAAGGAAGCGCGCACAGCCCTGATGTGGGCCGCTCGCGAGGGCCACGTTGAGGTTGTGCGTTTCCTAGTCGGGGCCGGCGCCAATGCGGACGTGCCTGACAGCGAGGGCTACACAGCCATGATGCGGGCGGCTCAAAGGGGCCAGCTTGCAGTCGTGTGCTTCCTGGCGAAGGCCGGCGCCGACAAGGACGAGGGCGCGGCCGACAACGATGGCCGCACAGAGCGCCACAAAAATGTTTACCCAAAACCCTAAGCCCCAAACCCGAAACCCTAAACCCTAAACCCTAAACCCAGAGCATCCCCTAGCTCTGCACGTGGCCTGTATACTAGTGCTGATGTGCTGCGTAGGTTCGCATGTAAGCTGTTTAGAATCACCCATCAAACCTCAAGGTCAACCCTTTAACTTGGTAGTAGAGCAGGTAACCTTTAACTGCTTTTGAGGAAATCTACTCCCCTCGCAAAGATTAACCTTTAGTTCCCCTAGTGTGCTGGACGACTAAGTTATTGAGCGTGCAGAAACTCTGCCTCTGGGAGAGGGTTTCCTAACCTAGGGTCCAAGGAAGGTATCTCTCATACTGTCTGGCCATATACTTTTATTGTACCTTCCCCAAAAGCCGCAACTCGAAACCCGGAACTCTAAGCCCTAAACCCCGAACCCCGCCTGGCGGCTAGAGTTTCTTGAAGTGCTTTTTTTACGCGGGCACAGTCTTGGATGTTGTGGGACTACATGCAACCCCCCTAAACCCTAAACCCTAAACCCTAAACCCTAAACCCTAAACCCTAAACCCTAAACCCTAAACCCTAAACCCTAAACCCTAAACCCTAAACCCTAAACCCTAAACCCTAAACCCTAAACCTAAACCCAGCTAGAACAAGCCTCCGGCAAGACCGTCAGGCCAAAAAGGCAGAGTCATCAATTCAGCCGGAGCCCCAGGATGTCTGGGTTTTGGGTTTAGGGTTTAGGGTTTAGGGTTTAGGGTTCAGGGTTTAGGGTTTAGGGTTCAGGGTTCAGGGTTCAGGGTTCAGGGTTTAGGGTTTAGGGTTTAGGGCGCCTAAACCTAAACTGCAAAACGCGAAACCCCAAACTTGCTCCCGCGAGTTTTGGCAACGAGTGAGTAAGAGAGCAGCACACGCAACATGGGGTCGCTGTGAACTGTGTGCGTCCTCCCGGTCACTCTGAACCATCAAGGTTAAGGGTATAGCGTTTAGGGGTAGGGTTAGGTTCTGATGGGTTGGACAAAACGGTAAGGGTTCAACGTTTAGGGTTTCATTTGATGCCCTATAAGCTACAAGGGACTTCTTAGAATGGAGACTAGAAAGCACCCGTACCTCAGATCACGCACACATTGACATGGGGGTTTCTGAAAATTGGCGTACCCTTTTTGGGGGTCCTTTTCAGGGTATTCTACCCGATTTGGGGTCTGAAAGGGGGCACCCTATGTTGGGAAGTACCCACATGAAACTGCCGAAGCATCAGGTACTACCTTTACGCCATCATTGCCGTGAATGCCTTGTATTTCCTTGGCCGTGTACTCCTCTACTGGTCCTCCATGGGGAAATGGAATCTGCTCCTTGGCCGGACTGGCATCTGCTGTTTAGGGTTTGGGGTTTAGGGTTTAGGGTTTAGGGTTTCAGGTTTAGGGTCCCAACAGTGTTGGCGTGGACTAGTCTCCAGTACCAGGAGCGTTGCTGCTCTTGGATGGCAGTGCTTGTACTAAACTTAAACCCTAAACCCTAAACCCTGAACCCTGAACCCTAAACCCTGAACCCTGAACCCTGAACCCTGAACCCTAAACCCTAAACCCTAAACCCTAAACCCTGAACCCTAAACCCTAAAACCTAACTAGGCTACACACGAATTCATTCGCGGCATCAACTCTTTGATTGCTACTTTGTTTTTGTTTCCAAGCTGCACAAGCCATTATGGCTGTCGATGCAGCTGCTTCAGGAGGATCTTCAGGAGGCTTGAAGCAAACCCTAAACCGTAAACCCTAAACCCTAAACCCTAAACCCTGATCCCTGAACCCTGAACCCTGAACCCTGAACCCTAAACCCTAAACCAATCCCCAAACCCTAAAGCCTGAACTAGGCTCATGCTTGGGCTCCTAGCCACTAGCTATGCCGGATGTGCCATGTTGAAGTACATGGTCATAGCCCCTGAAACCCTCGACTTTTCGAAAGTGACGTTTTGCGAGTTTAAGGTTTTTGCACTATATTAGTACTCTAATACTATTCTAATCTAGCTATATTGTTAATTAATAATTATAGGGTTTAGGGTTGAGCGTTTAGGACTACCCCCCCTGAATTATCGTAGAAACCCCGTGAAGGAGAACAAAAACTCAGAGAACTCCCCATGTGCATCGTGATCTGGGCATATTTCGGGTACTTTAGGGGGACGACTGCTTCAATGGTTTCGTAGCTATGTTAGGTCATTTGTGAAGCCAATATTGAACCTTGATGATTTGGTGTTGATGTTTCGCTAAATGTTGTGTGCAGCCTTTGGGCTATTTGGGCGAGGCGACTCACGTTTTTAGGGCTAGCTGCCCAGTTTTACCTTACCCTTCTCGCTTCCTGATAGAGAGATCTACATAATGCCTCACACACACTAACAACGCTAGTATATCCATGTCCATCCCAGTGCATCCCAGAAATCGCAGCGATCTGTGTCAGGGATGAAGCTCATTTTGTCAGACCCCCAGCATGCAATCATCGAAACCTCGACAGAATACCCAGAAACCCTCAAACTACAATTCCCTCAGAAGCCCTATGTCAAGATAATAGAAACCGACCTACCCCCCAAACGTGTTCGAACGTTCAGATCCCAGTCATCGAGCTCTAAACTCTAAACCCTAAACCCTAAACCCTAAACCCTGAACCCTAAACCCTAAACCCTGAACCCTAAACCCTAAACCCTAAACCCTAAACCCTAAGCCCTAAGCCCTAAACCCTAAACCCTGAAACCCGAAAGCCTGAACCCTGGCACCCTCCAGTCGCAGTCGGAGTTCCAGGTGCGGCATGCTGCTCTTCACAGGAGTGTCCTACTTCACGCCGCAGACCCCAGATGTTTGGGGTTTCGGGTTTAGGGTTTAGGGTTTAGGGTTTAGGGTTTAGGGCTCGTAGTGGCAGAAGGAAGGGCCTGCACTCATATTGGAATGATAAGGCTTGTGCATATATTCTTATTGATTGATTTGTTATTTGCACATGCATATCTAGTTGTTTGATGATTTTTTGTTTTAGTTTGCTTGATGGAACCAATTGTTAGATACCATATGCTTTCTATGTCAGCGTAGTCGTAATGTACAGGTCGTGTATATGGTACCAACATGCAGTGCGGCTGTGGTACATACACAGTCTTCGGTCGGTGTGTGTGTGTGAGAGAGAGAGATAGAGGAACGCTCTGATAACAGTCATACTTTGGGATCTTCCCCCCCCCCCCCTTATACTAACAGTCCTTAATAGGGGTTATAGTAGGGGATGCTCGAATCCCTATTAAGGACTGTTAGTATAAGGAGAAACATCCCAAGCCATGCTGCGCAGTTGATGTCAAGAATCTGATGCCACCCCGAATTGCAGGGGATGCATGCTGATTTGGCACCTTACGGAGAAGCCAGCATGACATCTGTGAAGCAAGCTGGGACGCGTTTAGGGTTTTGGGTTTAGGGTTTAGGGTTTAGGGTTGTGTACCTGCGAACAAGTACCGTGTCAGCTGCCGGAATCAGTTCGCCGAAGGTTGAGAGCACAATGCACATGTTGAGAGAACTAACCACGTCAAGGGTCGTCACTGTGTATACCTGGCTAGTTGACTGTCGAAGTACCAGTCATAAGGCCTGTGGGCCAGAACCTGAAGTCACGCATCAGATCCAACCAACCTAATCCCACAAGCCGTTCTCTAATTCATTTTTTGCGAGAGTTTTCAACCCCCCGGATTTTGCCCATGGTGTTTGCGAGGGTTTTGAAGCCACCGGAATTTGATCCCCATGGTTTTTTGCGAAGGTCTTGAAGCACCCAAAAATTTGATCCCCAAGGTATTTTGCCGGGGTGTAGTATGTTATACTCCGAAGAACAATTTTCGAAGCCCAGAGCCCCAGAAAGCCTCGGAGAGACGTTTTCTCGTATTCAGTTTGTACTACAAAGGACAACTTTCCAGACCCAAGGCTCACAGAGGCCGTTCCCCGTGCTTTCCCCGTGCTAAGGGGTGGTGCTACAAAGAACGACTTTCCAGGCCCAGAGCGGAAGCCTCAAACAGGCATTTCCCCATACTGAATATGTACTACAAAGAACGACTATCCGGGTCCGAAAAACGGTCCCCGGTACTGAAGTGGAACTACAAGGTACGACTTTCTAGGCCAGAGATCCGGCAAGCCTCAGAGAAGCATTTTTAAATTGGTACTGCAAAAGACGGCTAAGCCCCCAGAATTTACTAACGTGGAAAGAGCTCTTCGAGTCCGGGGATGAGGAGAGCAAGGAGAGTGACGTTGCCTGCAGGCCTGTCCTCTTGAAAAAGTGTACTTTGAGTGCAATGGGTCCTGTGGACAAAGCAAAGCGTTTCGCAGGTTTTGTCCTTAGAAAAAAGGGTAGGTAGTATAAACAAAAAACTGTACATCGTACAGAAAGACACTGTAGATATAAGTGAATAGATGCATCTTTGATTCAGGAGAAAAGCTTCTAATGTTCCCCGCGAATGGATCGCTTTGAGATAAGTTGTGTTCGGGATGGGTTGTGTTCGGGATAGGTGCACTAGGCTCGCAGAAAGTAGCTCCGACCTGATAGCGAACAGTGATGGAAAAAGCTCAAGCAACTTTAGCCCCAGCGGGAAGAAGTCACAACGCTAGATCTTTGAGTTCCCATACATACATACATACATACATACATATATATACATACAAATATATTTTCATAGGTCCGTTCACTAGACTGTGTGTTAGAAATAGTGTGAGGGCTTATTTTTTGTTACCAGAGTCTTATAGTAGACCCTACATGTCTGAAGGGGTTTTTAGGAACGCTTGAATCCAGGTTCGGAGCCATCAAGAGCTCACTGGAAATTGGAGCGAACTACGAGATGTACTTGGACCGGGGGTGCTCTTTTTGCTGGATGGGTTCGTGTTGCGCTCCCCACTCCACCCCCCCCCCCCCACCCCGGAACATTCAATATATATATATATATATAGACCATATATATATATACATACATATAAATCCTGAACCCCAAACCCGAAACCCGAAACCCTGCCAAACTGAGAGGACCTCTTCCTCGTGAACTTGGCCACGCAAGCCATGGCTGCTTGGCTGCCTCCCCGTTCCGTCCTTGCCGATGCAGACGTCGATCAAACCCATTCCCAACAACCCTAAGCCCTAACCCCAAACCCTAAACCCTAAACCCTAAATCTAAACTCCCGATTGCAGGTGACCTTCACTGATTACGGTTGGCTGCTCTACCTCGTGGTGTGGAGCTCGGCGCACCAAGAGCTGCAGAAGCCTACGCTTTCAAACGAATTGCTTAAGACCCCCCAACAAAACTGAAGATTCTTCCTTATAAGGGCAAATTCGGGAAATTAATTTCTTGTTTTTTCGGGGTTCTTGAGCAAATAGCAGCTTCTCAGTGTGGGTTTTCGGAGGATTTAGGGTTTGGAGATTTTAGGGTTTAGGGTTTAAGGTTTGGTTTAAGGTTTCGGGTTTGGGGTTAGGGGGCTAGGTTAGGGTTTAGTGTTTGAGGTTTAGGGTATTTTATAGGGGAGGAGGGAATGAGGTTCTTTTGTCTCACCCTAACCCTTGAAGGGACGAGGGAACTGAATGAACCAAACTCCTTAATTCCTAGGATGCCCGGTAGTACCCTTATGCCCCTTTTTGGGGGGTTTAGGTTCCCTTATAAACCCCTGTAAGCAAAAAAGGGCACCCTTTTTAAGCCTAGGTTACTGGGCAACCTAGATTCCTTATCAAGAACCAGCCAAAACAAGGCCCAAGTCTGGGTCGCAGGCTTGGGGTTTGCGGGCTTTCGGGATGTGAAATCAGATGTTTGGTCTTTTTTCTTAGTAGCTGAGTGAGTACACTATACACTTTTTGGGCTACGATAATCCCCTATAGATCCTGAAAGTGTACACTTTTTGGGGGCTTATGAACTCAGCAACTAAGATTTGTTGGGCCGCGGCCATGGTCTGCAGGTTCCTGGCTACGCCGGCTGGAAGGTGGTGAAGTTTGTGATGGACTATGCCTGCGCCTCGTTGGCTCTCCTTGGTCGGGTTTGGGGTTTAGGGTTTAGGGTTTAGGGTTTAGGGTTTAGGGTTTAGGGTTTAGGGTTTTGGGTTTAGGGTTTAGGGTTTTGGAACCCACCAGAGCAGAGCCAACCACAACACCCCGGAATGAAGAAAGAGACCTTCCTTCACACAGCCTGGCTCAGTTAAGGTTGCAGTTCTCTAATCACGCGGGGTATTGGGCAGGAAACCCCGAGCCCGAGATTTTCCGGAGGTTTCGCGGACGATGCCACGTGTCCCCTTTTGTGCTCATGGCGAGGTCTTCACTCCCACAGATCAGGAGATGGCAGAAAACGACCCGGAGGCGAGAAATGAAAGGGTATTAGGGTTTATGGAAGCCTGCTCAATGAGAGTGATTGTGTTGGGTAGCTGTTGTGAGTATTACCATGTAGGGGTGATAGGGGAGAACATTGGTCGTCATCTCGGTTCCTGCAGTACAGTAGGATTGCGTCATCAAGGGTACTGTAGTGTTCATGAACTTCCAGCTGCACAAGAAATCGACTTGACACTGTCCCGTTGCTCAGTACAAGAAGCGGATGGAGAAGAAGGAGAAGAAAGCCGAACGGCAAAAGTTCAAGGTCCAGGACTCTGGGCTTCTTGCGGACAAGACAATGTCATGACAGCAGCAGCGCCTCTTCATCAAAGCTCTGCTTTTCTGCACGGTGCCAAGGTTGTCAAGCACTGACGCGCGCATATCCGCAGCCCAAACGTTGGCTGCTGTGGCTGCGTGCTCTGCGGAAGCAAAGGTCGTCCGTTTTCTTCGCGTAAAAAGTGGAGACTGGCAATTTGAAGTCAGGGGCACCTCAAGCTTTGGACCCTTGCAAACAGCCAACGGCCAAATCCTGAGCCTTACTTCAGCCTATAACGTGTGATTTGACAAACCCCTAAACCCTGAAGTCCTGAAACCCAAGCCAGAGGTAAAAGCCCCAACCTCACTGCTAGCCTCTGGCTCAAAAGGGCCTGTTGGGTCGTGAGACAAAAGCCGTTCATCGACCCCGCTGATCGTGGCCGCAGGCTCGGTCGGCCCCAAACGGTCAAGCGAGGGGTTGAACTGGGGTTGAGGACTGACGGCAGGTTGCAGCTTGCCGGCTCTAGGCTCAGGACGGCTTGGGAATCGGGGTTCGTCGCTGGGTGATGGGCATCTCTTATATGACCAGGTAAGCATCCAGGCTTTCAGCACACAAACACACATGGCCAGGGAGGGAGCGCGCAAGAGAGGCTGATGGTAGACTCGCACACGGGAAACGGTGAGTCTAGACGTCTCCCTGCTCTCGCCCTTGGAAGAGTTTTTTTTTTCGCAGGAGGGCGTCGACATCATCTTTTCTGATCCCTAAACGAACCCCAAACCCTAGGCCGAGCTTTGGGGGACTTCTGGGTTCGAGTAAGCCCTAGGCCCCCAACCCTACACCCAAAACCCCTAAACCTCCAAGCCTCCTACACCCTAAGCCGCCTAAGACCCCAAGCCCTAAACCCTAAACCCCTCATCCCCTAAAACCCCCTCAGCCGCCTCTTCTGCCGCAGGGCCTCGGAACTGCCTTTGGGCCTCGTTTTTGGGAGCTAGTGCGCCTCAAGAGTTCTTTCGCAGCTTTGCTTCATTGGTTTAGGGCGGTTCGGGTTTAGGGTTTACGGTTAGGTTTTAGGGTTTAGGACATGTAGGAGTTTAGGGTTTTGGGGGTTGGCAGTATAACGAGAGCTCGTGGTCTCTTGGCGGATGGTCCAGGTACAATTCGATGAAGCTGCTATCCCTCATCCTCTACAGGTGGCAGGAGGCCTGCCGAAGTCTTCTTTGTTTAGGGTTTAGGGTTTAGGGTTTAGGGTTTAGGGTTTAGGGTTTAGGGTTTAGGGTTTAGGGTTTAGGGTTTAGGGTTTAGGGTTTAGGGTTTAAGGTTTAGGGAGACTTTCGGGTTTCGGGTTTCGAGTATTGGCACGCTGCTGGCTGTCTTGGCACACCTAGTTCTCGGACACGGAGGTTTACGATGTTAGCGGTATTCTTGGGTTTAGGGTTTAGGGATTAGGGTTTAGGGTTTAGGGGTACCTCATTGGGGTCCCTAATGATTCTAAAAGGGATCCAATTCTTTGGTCGTCTATGTTGGGGCTCCCTTCTTATCGCAAATCCACATATGGGTATTTCCCAAAACTTGGGGTACCCCTTTGATACCCGAAATCCAATAGAGTCCCCGTAAAGGGACCCCCCCCCCCCCCCCCCCTAAACCCTAAACCCTAAACCCTAAACCCTAAACCCTAAACCCTAAACCCCCCTAAACCCTAAGCCCCCCTAAACCCTAAACCCCCCTAAACCCTAAACCCTGAACCCTAAACCCTAAACCCTGAACCCTGAACCCTAAACCCTAAACCCTAAACCCCAAAAAAATGGTACCCCAATGATGGTAAGCCCACATATACTCTAGGACCTTTGATGCCATGTTGCAAGGACAACAGCGTCGAGCTGGTGAACTGCGAAGAGCTGCCAGGGCCTCAACGGGTGTGGGGTTTAGGGTTTAGGGTTTAGGGTTTTGGGTTTTGGGTTTTGGGTTTTGGGTTTAGGGAGCTTCCTTCGGGTGGTGGAAAGCCGCCGCATGCAGCAAGAAAGCTAAGGATTAGCACGCTTTGGGTTTGGGAAGTTTAGGGTTTGGCAGCATAGGATTTGGGAAGCTGTGGGCTGAGGAAAGCAGCGTTTTCAAGGTTTCTAGGGGCTGCCTAAACCCTGAACCCTAAACCCTAAACCCTAAACCCTAAACCCTAAATCCTGCGCTTTCGAGGAGTCCTTTTCCTGATGCGCAGGACCTCGTTCAGCTTTTTCCATCGAGGGCCTCTTCGCGAACACATCAAGCCGGGATCTCGACCTTGTTTTCTACTCGTCAAATACGGAATTGACTAAACAAGGAAAACCGACAAGGTTCAGAGGCGAGGCTTTGTAACGTCCTGACCCCCCCCCCCAAAAAAAAACAAAAAACAACAACAGCACCTTAAGCTAAGCCCTCCCAAAAAGCATCCCAAAACCCTAAAGCCCCGAAAGCAACATCACCTGAGTCCAAAAAGCCCCAAGAGCCCCAAACGCCAAGGCACGAAAACCTCCACCAAGTCCCCAAAAGCCTAAAGCCGGAAAGCCCACTACCTAAGTTAGGGTTTAGGGTCCAGTTACAAACATTGGGCGAGATCCTGATCCCAAACCCTGAGAGCCCCAACACCCTCCACCCAACACCCTAAGCCCGAAAGACACTAAGCACCTCTGAAAACTCAAGATGTTCAACAGCCCTGAAAGCCCTGAAAAGCCTAAATGCCCTAAAAACCCTAAAAACCCCAAAAATCCTAAAAACCCTAAAACCCTAAAAACCCTAAAACCCTAAAAACCCTAAATCCAAAGAGGCCCTCAAATTCTGCACGGCCACCGAAGACCGAGGTTCCACAGCCGCCTGATCGCCACGCGCACTCCTCCGGGACACGAGCTGGGTTTAGGGTTTAGGGTTTAGGGTTTAGGGTTTAGGGTTTAGGGTTTAGGGTTTAGGGTTTAGGGTTTAGGGTTTAGGGTTTAGGGTTTGGGTTTTAAGTAGGGTTTAGGGTTTAGGGCTTTTAGTGTTTAGAGCTGCGGTGAAGAGGACCATGCAGTAACGGAGAGTTCAGGGTTTAGAGTTTAGAGTACCGCAGAACGGAGGACAGCGACAAAGCATTGACTTTGACCAGAACCTGGGTAAGTGCTACTCCTGGTCCCATCCAGAGGCCAGCCAGGAACCAACAGGGGTTTAGGATGTAGGATTTGGGGAATTTTGGCTTTAGGGTTCAGGGTTGCGGGTTTAGGATGTAGGATTTGGGGTTGAGGGTTCAGGGTTTAGGGTTTCATCGTACTTTGGATGTAGAAGTTGAAGGATTTAGGGTTCAGGGCCTACGCAGCAGTGCACAAGGCAGTTCAATGGGTGACACAACTGTGCGGCCTAGCAGTCTGGACAGCTGGTTTGTGCGGAACCAAAAATTGTGTGTGTGTGTGTGTATGTATGTATGTATGTATGCATGCATGCATGCATGCATGCATGCATGCATGCATGCATGTATGTATGTATGTATGTATGTATGTATGTATGTATGTACTTGTGTTACTTCTGTTTTCTATGCATGTACATATGTATGTTTTATGTTCTTCGATTCTTTGTCCCCCCCGTTATTGGGCTTCAGAGGGATCGATAGCTTCCTCCAAACTTCCTGCTGCCCTGAAGCGCGCACGCTTCCTCAGTGAAGCCTAAGCTCTACAAACCCTAAACCTTATAAACCCCTAAGCCCCAGAAACCCTAAACCTTACATAAACCCTGTACACCCCTATGAACCCGAAATCCCTAAACCCGATAAACCCCATCAACCCTCGACCTGCAGTGAAGCCTAAGCCCTAAACCCCAAACCGTAAACCCTGAAGCGACCATGAGAGGCCGGTGGTTCGACAATTACGGCCACTGTGCTCGTAGACGGTCTGACGCTCATCCTCACCCTGCAGCAGGGTTTAGGGTTCAGGGGTCTTGGGGCTTAAGTATTGTTTGTTGTATTTGGTTCATCGTTTACGCCCCTAAGCCCCACACCCTGCTTATAGTACATTAGTGGGGCTCTTCCGGGATGAATGTAGGGGTCCAAATAGTTACTAACATTATTCCCTTATGGTCCCTAGAAAAATATGCTGTAACCCCCAAAACCCTGAACCCTACCATTAGAGCCCCCTAAACCCTAAACCCTAAACCCTATATAATTCTACTAAAGTAAGAGCCCCAAAAACTTTTCTAATTATCAAGGCCCCTATCAAGCTCTGGAGTAAGGCCCTTGGGTGCAAAAAAGGATAATCTAAGGGTTCACCAATTAAGGGCCCCATACTCAGGGACCATGTACAACCCTTATTCTTTTTTGAGGGTTTTGATTCCCTTATAAGCCCCGCCAAGCCACAAAGGGCACCCTTTTTTGTTCCTACCTCCTGGGGACGACATGAACCCTCAAAGGGTTTGATTATGGTTCATATGCCTGAATAGGATTTATAGTAGTACAGGGCGCATGGCCCCCAATTTCAGGGTGCATGAGCTGTGGGATGACGTGGAGGGGTCTTGGACGATGCGAAGGTGAGTATCCCATGCGGGTGGCCTTCGCGCTGGCCGCGGAGGCCGGGGGGGGGGTACATTGCTTAGGGTTAGGGCTTAGGGTGTAGGGATTAGGGTTTAGGGTTTGGCAACCCTGAACCCTAAACCCAAAACCCCAGCCCCCACACAACACCCCGGGGGGGGGGGGGGGGAGGGGGACCGGGTGCGCTCTGATCATGTGTTTCTAGGCCGGGTTGCTGCGTTCAATGCAGGCCACCGGGTACTGATGATGCGGCCTCAAACCCTGAACGCAGCCGTAATCCCTGCAAAGGAGCCCTGCGGTACACGGGACCCTACACCCTAAACGTTTAAGGGTTTAGGGTTTAGGGTTTAGGGTAATTAAGGGCTTCCGACCCTGAGCCCTGAGCACCCCGAGGTTTAAAACCTCAGGGTTTTCGGGGTTCGGGGACCTCCCCCAAAGAATCCGCCCTAAATCCTAAACCCTAAACAGTTTCGAGGCGATCCGCATCCTCAGGGAGACTGTCCCGAAGGATACTGTGGAGGCAACGTACTGGCTGGTTCTTCATCTTGGTCGGGAACGAGGGAATGGGGGCCCTATATGATCCCTGAAAGGGTAGAAACAAAGGGCCCTCATTCAATTATTCCGTAGTAAGAATTAATTAGGGAGTTTAGGGCAAACGCGGGAGAACAGAATTCTCCAGGGTCAGACGGTCAGAAGGCAGAACATACTGTGGGTTTGGGAGACTAGGAAGCTTTTCTAAAATCTCTGGCAATTTCTCAAACGAAGCATAGACTCTCTTTGTTGGTCTTTGCGTGCTTCCTGTTTTTCGAACTCTTCTACATGGTCGGCTGAAGCTGCTTGACTTCTCGGGTCCAATTTGTTCAGCCCTAAGTCTCTGAATCTTTTTTTGTTTATGTTATATGTTGTATCCTGTCTGTTCTACATAATTTATGTGAGATGTTATACATTACTTATTTATATTAGATGTTATACATTGCATATATCAGGCATGTAAGACCCTAATATGGCTCCTGAATAATTCGTCACCACTCGGGTGCACGCACGAGCTTCTCCGAATCGTCCTGTGCAGGCCGCTAAAGCCGACATGGCGATCAACTCGCCCGAGATCCAGGCCACGCCTAAAGTTCACCACAGGGTTTGGGTTCGGGTTTAGGGTTTAGGGTTTAGGGCTCCGGTGCAAGCAATGCTGGATAATGCTGGTGTCTTCCACGCCGAATTTACTTGGAGGCCCTCTTCGCGAAATTCCAGAACCCAGCGGAGGCACGCGCCCTAAGCCGTTACGGCAAATCATCCAAGCTTGTGGTGGTACCGTTTCTGCGAATTGCATATTGCTTCTGAGGCGCTGAGACCCGCAAAGGGTCTATAATTAGTTCGTACGAACATCCTAGCACTCTCTGAAGCTAGTCACACCCATTCGGGGTACATGCTGCTTCCACCTCTCAGCTTACAAGAGTCCGACTTACCTTCTCGAACCATGTCTTGGGAAGGTGCTTCTGATGTTTGGCGGATGACAGTTCTGGCAGTCTTAGGTTAAATGCCATGATTGCTGATGTACTTGTGAGAAGTGTGAAAGTTCTGGGTGTCCGCGAGTGAGGAATGGGAAAGGGGTGTGTGGGTGGCTTAAACCCTAAACCCTAAACCCTAAACTCAGGGCACGGCCACGTCAAAGTGGCCGTGGTGATTTCTGACCCAATCCCCGTTGCGAGACCTCGGACCTGCTTCGAAACGGTTGCCCTGAGTTTATCTAAGCCTGGCTCTTCTGCATCACGAACTTAATCTTACATATAAATATCTATATATTTATATAAGTAAATAAATATAAATATAAATATATATATATATATATATTTATTTATATATTTATATTCATTTATTTATGTTCTGGAAGGATATGGTGTTCTATGAGATGTCATACTATGGAAGGATTTGATCTTGTAGTATTTGTCATATCATGAGGCGGACAAGCTCACAAAGATCGAGAAGGACTTGGAGGAGGCGCAGGGAGAATGAGGACTTGGGGATGCTTGGGTCACCCCCAACGGGTTTCGAAGAAGCCCGGATATGGCTGGGGTTTAGGGTTTAGGGTTTAGGGTTTAGGGTTTAGGGTTTAGGGTTTAGGGTTTAGGGTTTAGGGTTTAGGGTTTAGGGTGGATGTTTATGGTTGAGGGTTTCGGGCTTAGGGCTTAAGCGGTTAGGCCTCTGGTGTTTTATCTAGTGTAAATTTTAGACGCCGGCTCGACATGGCATCATCATATGCTGACCTGCTCCGAGCCCCGTCCGTGTTTGTTGCAGCCATATGAAGGCTTGAGCTCCTTTCACATGCCTTGTCTTCTGGGGGAAGAGACGCATGTGACATGTTCGTCAGGGGCCCTATGTGGGGACCTTAGACTCAGAACACCGAAGAACAAACACACCAATCCACCCCCAACCCTCCACGGTCTGCAAACCAAGCAGCCCAGGCCCGACCTGAACTAAAGCGTGGAACTCTTGCAGAAGCTTAGATATTTGATAATATTGTCCCCTGAATCTCTTCAGAAGCTTATCATATGCAGCTCCAAGTACCCATTCTAATGTTCAATAGGCCCTAGAGGATCCATCCGTGGTCCACCCTACCCCAAGCGCGTAATTCAAGTAGAAAACTCGACAAGCACTAACGTTGGCAGAGCACCATTCCAGAGGATGGAGAAGGCGAATTCTCTTCCGATAGCCGCTCTTTGTGCAGGGGCCTCCATTGGTCTCTGGATCTTGTGGCGGAAGGTACGAGACACAACTCCAAGCAGCATCCCCTTGGCCGAGGGGGGTGTGCCGGTCCTGGGACATGCTCTTCAGCATCTTAGTAGCCCAGTGGTACCCTTTTGTTCCTTTTTTTTGGTTCTGGGTTCCCTTATAAAGTAACCAACCCAAAAAAAGGGTGCCCTTATTATAATATATGCTTACTGGGCTACTAAGGTACAAGGAGGATCCTGCCGGCTGCATTCGGAAGCAAGAGCTGCTTGTGGGCAACTCGGAACCCCCTTAGTGGTAGCTACATGTGGTTCCTTTGTTTAAGCTGAGGTTCCCGTCTATTATAACCCTGAACCCTAAACCCTAAACCCTAAACCCTACGCCCTAAGCCCTAAGCCCTAAGCCCTAAGCCCTAAGCCCTAAGCCCTAAACCCTAAACCCTAAACCCTAAACCCTAAACCGAAATAGGGGTTACCTTTGTGGTCTAAGAAGCCGAGGCAAGATCTTCTGGATCAACTTGGCCGGTCGCCGCATGGTTGTGGTCGGCTCCGATGCAGAGGCCATGAAGCAACTAGGACCCGGAGTACACAGGCCCTTACTTCCATTCGGTTTAGGGTGTAAGGTTTAGGGTTTAGGGTTTAGGGTTTAGGGTTTAGGGTTTAGGGTTTAGGGCTTCTAATCTCCTTAAACCGAAAAGGGCACCCTTTTTATTCCTAGGTTACTCCTGGGCTCTAGGCAAGTGGCGATGCAGCCTGCGACGGTGCTTTCGGCCCAGCGGGCCGTCGCCGAGATCGGCTTTGAGTACCTCCTCGGCCCGGCAAATGTTTACAGAGGGACCACCTTTCACAAGCGGGTTCTGAAGGAAGAGGTGAATCCCAAAGCAAAGTTGGAGGCCCTGCTGCCCATTTTTTCCCAGGCGCTGTCCCGGGCACTGGATGACGAGGCAGGTGCTCTCATGGGCCCTGGCACCACATCAGACAGCGTCCTCGCGCATCCTGACGCCTTCCACCTGGTTCGTCGATGCATCTTGCGTGCCACTCTGGATGTCTTGGTCTCCCCGAGCCTCTTGCATAGGGATCCTTCGCTGCTGTCGGCACTCATGACCTTCCAAGACCATGTGGAAGATGCAACTGCCAAGGCGGCAGTCCTCCCACGCCTTCTGTCCCTCCCCCTGTGTCTCTGGCCCATGGCCCTCTCCAGGCGGCGCTTGGCCGGGCGCCTAAGGCGCCTGCTGGCAGGCGATGCGCCAGATGGAGGTATCTCTGGCGTTTTTAGTGTCCTAGGCTCATTTGTCTAGCCACTTTCTTTTTTGGGGGTCTCCGACCAACAGTCACCCTAAAAAGCCCTTCATCCCAAGCCTTCGCGCGCAGGTCGTGGGCCCTGGCTTCGAGCCTTCCAGTCCGAGCAGGTTCCGCTCAAAGATGCCGCCGAGTTTCTTATCGGCTTCTTGGTAGCCCAGCGGTACCCATTTCTCCCTTTTTTGGTCTTCAGAGGTTCCCTTATAAAATAACCCTAAACTCCAAAGCCCTAAAACCCTAAACCCTAAACCCTAAACCCTAAAGCCCAAAAAAGGGTGCCCTTGTTAAAATATGGTTCCTGGGCAACCGAGGCTTGGTCTTCGCAGCACACAAGAACCCTGCGACTTGAAATGAGGTTTTGGGGGGGGTTTAGGGTTTAGGGTTTATGAGGTTTTGGGGGGGTGGGTTGCATCGGGTACCCTATCTACTCCAGAGTTATAATTACGCCCTAGGCATCCCTAAAACCGAAGTAAGAATAGAACCCTGAACCCTAAACCCCCCTCAAAAAAAATCTTAATCAAACATAAAAACCCTAAACCCCATAAACCCCATGAACCCCATAAACCCTAAAAACCCTATAAACCCCCATAAACCCGATAAACCGTGTCAACCGTGTAAACCCCAAACCCTGTAAACCCTAAAGAACCCTAGAAACCCTGAAAACCCTAGAAACCCTATAAGCTCTATAAACCGTAGGGTTTAGGGTTTAGGGTTTAGGGTTTAGGGTTTACAAAACCCTTTAAAACCCAAAAGAACCCACGAGGCGATTGGCGCGGCGCAGTCCCTGTGTTTCCTGCGCTCCTTGGATGGGGAGGTGCAGGAGGCTGCGACGGCCGAGGCTCCCAAGCTGATTGCTTCCATGATTGGGTTTTGGGTTTAGGGTTCAGGGTTTAGGGTTTAGGGTTCAGGGTTTAGGGTTTAGGGTTCAGGGTTTAGGGTTTAGGGCTTAGGGTTTAGGGTTTAAAAGTTTAGGGAGTTTAGGGTTCAGGGTTTATGGAGTTTAGGGTTCAGGGTTTAGGGAGTTTTAGGGTTTAGAGCTTAGGGTTTGGGTTTAGGGAGTTTAGGGTTGAGAGTCTAGAGTTTAGGGTTTAGGGAGTTTAGGGTGTTTAGGGTGTTTAGGGTGTTTAGGGTGTTTAGGGTTTAGGGTTTAGGGTTTAGGGTTTAGGGTTTAGGGTTTAGGGGAGGCCACGAAGCTGCTGGCTGCCATGGGCCAAGAGCGTGGGGCTGAGGTACCTCGGAGACTTCAAAAACTGGTTTTAGGGTTTAGGGTTTAGGGTTTAGGGTTTTAGGGTTTTGGAGTACAACACGTCAATATTTGTTGGTTCTGAGTTCTTTAACGTTAAAGCAACCCTATACTTTAATGTTTTTTGTTCTGGGTTCCTACTATAGCTACTTAAGCCTCAACGGTATATACTTTTTCCAGGGTCTACTCCAAAGTAGGGAAGAAGGAACCCTGAGAGGGCTTATTCAACTTGTGGTGCTCATCTCTAGGTAGGCCCTTGGGGCATTTTATATGTCTTCCTGTATTGGGTTTAAGAGTATCATATTCAGGAATATTTTTCAGACGGTTATGATATCGTAGCCCAGGGTAGATGATCCCAAGTTTAGGGCTCATGTTCAAGGAAGCACTGCTAGCAGCGACCACGCTGCGCAAGTGCGTGCTTGAAACCATGCGAGTGACCGCACATACCCTGGGAGCCCTGCGCTACGCCAATGCGCCGCTGCAGATTGAGACCCGGACCTCGCAGGTCACCATCCCCCAAGGAGCAACAATTGCTGTTGCGCACAACTCCACTCACACTGATACCAGGGTGTGGGGTTCTGAGGCATCGGAGTTTCGACTGGACAGGCCTGAGTGGGCACGACATGAGGACATCTCATCTCCGGTGGATCCGTACAAGCTGACAACCTTCTCTCAGGGAGTCCACAAATGCCCGGGCGAAAAATTTGCGCTGGCAGTTATGCAGATGATGATGGCCATTCTGCTAGCCAGGGACAGCCGACTGGTTCACGTGCCGAAGATTTCGTTCGAACGCGCCACTCTGGCCCAGCGCGAAGGGCCAGTGCCCGTCACTCTTCGACTCCAGGCACTCGCGTGACCGGGAAGTGAGCTGGTGTCTTGCTTTGGTGCACAGACAGCGTAGCTGAGTGCGGCAGCAGAAAAAGATTTTTCCACTACAGCGGCGCTTGCCAGCCCACGGCACCATCTAGGATCTAGCCACCTGCAGGTTAAAGGAGTCGTCATGCAGTCGATGGATGACCTGCTTAAGCGCGGCCCCTGCCTCGGGCATGATAAATCAGACCTGCTTAATGCTTGCAGATGTGTGACCAGAGAAGGAAACAGCCGATGCCCTGCGATTACCTTAAGGGAGGTAGGTGAAAACTTGGCAACCCTAAACCCTAAACCCTAAACCCTAAACCCTAAACCCTAAACCCTAAACCCTAAACCCTAAACCCTAAACCCTAAACCCTAAACCCTAAACAGCAACGCGCCACCACCATCACTTCCCGTTTGAGGCGAGTCTTTGGACCAGCTGATGCAGAAAAGCAAGGACATCGTACAGATAGAAATCGGGCGGTGCACTTCTGGGGTTAGGGTTTAGGGTCTTGGGTTTTAGGGAGTAGGGTTTAGGGCTTTGGCCTTCAGCGGGCCTGCGCCTGTTGCGTATGTGTTGCCATGAGCTGGCAGGACCTCTCCAGCACCTCAGTGCAGCAGCTTGGCCAATGAAAGTGTAGGAAACGTAACTTTCACCATCTGTGTCTACGTTGCTGGCACTTGGAGGTTCATGGGTAGTTACAAGTATGGTGATAAGTATGGTAATTACACATACCTATAACCCTATTTCGGATACTTACATAACCCTACTATAGAACTGCCCATGAACCTCCAAGCAGTTGGAGAAAGCAGACGGTGGAGGCACGTGCTTCCACACCATGCAAGCCAAGGTTCTACCGAACCGCCAAGAAGAACAACCAGTGCTGTAAGATGTACTGATCAAGTGGGGACCTTCCCGAATGGGTAGTGCGAGGCTTGCCTGTTTGTTGTTCATGGTGGGTGGGATTCAGGGTTTTGGGGGTTGAGGGTCTAGGGTTTAGGGCACGTGAACCCGCACATGCGCTTGTTTCGCCTGCTTGTTCCCTTTCTTTCCGTTCCCTCTGGTTGCTTCCCTCTTTTCCTTCTCTGTTCGCCCATTCAGCTCGTTCTGCTACCAGTAGCTCCTTTTCCTACGCTTCTACATCTTCAACATCTGGAATTCAACAACTGTCTCGATCCTTGCATTGCTTGCTTGCTTCTTGCTCACTCCCTTCCTTTCGCTCCCCGTTCCATCCTCCTTCCTCGCTTGGCCCTGCCACTTTGGGTTTTCCACAATTGGGGGCTCCTTTTTTTCCCCATTGCCGGAATCTTCCCAACGCGAAGAACGCCCATAGAGCCCTCGCATAGGGGTCGGAATAATTACCAATCGTATTCCCTTATGGCCCCCTTTATAAATGTGCTATAATAACCCCCAAGACCCTGTTCGAATTCTTAAGGTCCCTATATTCAACCAAAACCCTAAAGACCCTGAAACCCAGAGTCGGGACTCCGCGTGCGGGTTAGACACAAAAGAGCACGATGCAGTTCGAGATGCACATCTACGCAGGTTCTGTTTGCAGATGCCCCCAGAGCTCTGCACATTGTTGTGGCACAAAGCAGATGAGTGACACCTCGAAGCATCACAAGGGGATACCCTTGGATTACCTGGATGTCCAGGACGCACCGCGATGTGTGCGCAAGGGCAAGGGAAGGAGCGAGAGGAGCCGTCGACATCCCACGAAAGACTCCTGTAAGATTGTCAGAGAGTGCATGTTGAACGACACTTGTGCCATTCCTCCGATCAAGTCGTGCGGAGCGGAAACTCCTTGAAAGTGCTCTTCAGGCTTTGGGCTTTGCAAGAGGTTTCGTGTTCCAGCGCTCGTCAGCTTCAGATCCCGAACCCTGGTGGGTATGTGAGCGTCTGCCCGGAACATCTCCAAGCGCGAGAGCCGACACCCAAAATGTTCATGCGTGAAACCAAAACCCGAAACCCTCAACATCAAAATTAGACCCTAAACCCTCAACCCTAAACCCGAAGAAGCTTTTCGCGCGCGAACCCCGACTTGCGCACCAGGTCCCATCGGACTTTGCACTTTGGTCGGTGCCGGCCTGAGCTGCGCAAGCCAAGAGTTTGTTGTATGGTATCTGACATGGTTATATGTTTAAATGAGTATATGATTATATGACTATATTTTCATATGCTTATAAGATTACATGCTTATAAGATTATGATTTTTGCAAATAAAGCATACGTATCTTGGTTTACCAGCGTATAAGAATGTAATGATGTCATGATAAGAGCATACCACTGTGCTATTAGTGTGTTATAGTATTGCATGGTTTTATTGTCATGTGACTATAATCGTATACGGGTTTATCATTGAATTAGTATATTATTACATTATAATAGTATAAAATGTTTACATTTCGATTGTGTTCTGACATTGGTGTATTACTACAGTAGTACATTTATCTGCTGATATTTGCTATCATATAGTAGTCTTCTAGTACTTCATACTATTGTTTTATGATGTCCTTTCGTTCTTTTTTTTACCAGAGTAGTGTATTTCATTTCGTATTGCTACAATATTATACTCATGTATTAGTGAATATTTTAGTTGGTCATGCTGTTTCATTTTCCTGTTATTCTATTCAACTCTTCATGTATTGCTAGAATTGTGTATCGTTGTAGTGTTTTTTCTATGTTCGTATTCTGATGTCGCTTCATGATTATGCTATTATATTGTTGTCTGATTATATGGCTGTACTTTTTGTTGTTACATACACTAATATAGCACTTTGCTAATATAGCGTTTTACTTTTCCACTAGTAACTTAGTGATATAGTAGTTTACTAATCTAGTTCTGTATTTTGTATTTTGATGCAGTATTCCATGTTTATTTCAGCATATTCTTGTAGTTTCTTAATTTTCTAACAGTGGTATACTTTATTTGCGTATATCAGTATACTGTTCTATGTTTTAGTGTGTCCTTGCATGTTTCTATTATAATATTTGAGTTTGTATGTATGTATATATATATGTATTTATGTATTGATTTACGCATTTTTGTTGTATACTAGTATATTACTATACTGTTGGTAGTTAGCTCATCATATGTTGTTTTAATGCTATATAGTATTGTTTAGGGTTGTTTGTTCTGCTTTGTTGCTGCTGCTGCAGGCCCCTGAACTGAGAGCAGCATCAGGAGGTGACCCACGTCCAAACAAGAACACATGTTGACAGCATGCCCATCTTATCGATGCTTCCCTCACCCAAAATTCAGTCTCGAGCCCCTCACCGCTATTGGAGCAGAGGAGGTAGATGCTGGTGGCACCGTAAGCAACTTTTGTACAGGATTGCCACGAGTGCCCCCCCGTGGAGTCGAGTGCATCTTGGAGCAGAAGATGTGCTCGAGGAAAACCATTGTGCCATGCATGTTAGAGACACCCGGCTTCTAAGCCCTAAACCCTAAACCCTAAACCCCAAACCCCAAGCCCTAAACCCTAAACCCTCAGGGTTGGTCGATTTTGCCTTATGGGCACAAGATTGGCCCAAGATAATGAGGCTGAGATCAGAAAGCCCAACGGTCTGAGACCCTAGGAGCATGAATGCCAACTTCAACCCCAAACACCTAAGGGTTTACGGCTCTAAATCGATCCGGCAGCTTCATCAATGTAGGACCTTGATACATGTTGGTATGTTCCCTTAGAGGGCTTAAGAGAGTCTTCTGTAGGTACATTTTTGTGAGTGTTTCTTTTAGGGCCTGGTCATCTGTTGTTTGAACCTGGTTGCGACAAGGTCTGCAACTTGTCGCAGCCTTCTGGGTTTACCTATCAACCTCGGGGTTCAGGGTTTAGGGTTTAGGGCTTGGGGCCAGAAACCCTTCGTCCCTTCATGGAGAGTTAGCCTCCCTTGTACGCCCAAGGCCCAGTAGTGCCCTTATTCCCGTTTTGCGGGGTTTAGGTTCCCTTCTAAACCCCTTTAAGCAAAAAAGGGTACCCTTGTTAAGCCTAGGTTACTGGGCAGCCTAGTGAAGCAATCGGATTTTGGGTTTGAGGGTTCAGGAGGTCGCAGCAGAAGCTTCATGGACGTCACGGCATGGGGCGCAAAGCTGTCATGGACAAGTTCACCTCACATAGGCAGTCAATTCACTAACATACATGTCAGAGAGGTGTCCCAGGAATGAATGGCATAAGGATGACGATTTCTTGCTTGTCCGCCCTATAGCGTGGTGGCGATTCCTAATGGTAGTAACGGTGCAAATAACAACAATATAATAACAATAAAAATAATAATAACAATAATAACAATAATAACAATAACAATAATAATAATGATCATAACCCTCTTTGCAGGGCTGAGGGTTTTTGCTTGAGCCATGCGGCGATCTGGCAGCACGGCTTTGCTGCTAGGCCCGGGGACTACTTGGAGGTTCATGGGTAGTTATAAGAAGGGTTATAAGTATCCTAAATAGGGTTATGAGTAGACTTCTAATCCTACTTGTGTACCCTAAATAGGGGTATGAGTATAGCGACCATACTGAGAGCCCTACTTATAACTACCCCTGAACCTGCAAGTTCTCGTGGGTGCCATGGATGCTCCCGAATTTAGAAACCATCGCAATCCTGAGGCCCGCAGTGTAACGGCTGGCTTTGGGGTCGCGTGCTCTTGAGACGAGCGCCGGGGGAATGCAGAGAGTCCCTGAACCTATGCAGCTGAACACCATTTGCACGCTGCAAGGGCTTAGGGTTTAGGGTTTAGGGTTTTGGGTTTTGGGTTTTGGGTTTTGGGTTTTTAGGGTTTTGGGTTTAGGGTTTCTATTCAGGGTTTAGGGTGTGCCTTTTAGGGTTTACGGCCACAACTTCAACTTCACAGCTTCAGTGCCCAAATCTTTGCCTGGCGAAAGGTCTGCCGGCCGTTTGGTTCGCGCGCCACACGCTGGCCTCAGCCCGAGATGCTCCTTGATAGGCTTTAGGGTTCAGGGGTTTGAGGGTTTGGGTGTTCATCATCCATGGACCAGGCAGTCGTACCGTGCAGAGTACACACTCATGAAGGCCCACATTGGCGACAAAGCGCCCTTCTTTGAAACGAGCTTATGGCTAGGAATGCTCTGGTCACTGGGAGTCTCGGGAGAGATAGACGAGAACAAGCAGGGGGGGGGGGGAAAAGAAACACAACAAACGAGGGAACCAGCAACCAGCAAAAACAAAAAAAACAAACATAAACAACAAGGCACAAAAACGCGGCTTCAGTCCCGGGCTCATTTTTCTGCTTATTTTGCATGTTTGTGTATTCCGTTTTCCTCGAGAAAGGCAAAAAAGCACCACCAACAAAACAAGGCAAAACAAACGCAGAAAGCAGTAGCAAACAAGCTCCGGGGCCCTTCTTCACCGTCCTCTGTTTCCTTATTTGGTTTGCTTTGTTTTTGCTTGTCCCCCTTGATGTTATCTTTTCCTGGCTTTGCACGAACTTCTGCACCTATCTACCTTCTAAGGGTCCCTTAACATGGCTCCTTGCTTTCAGAAAAGATTTCTGACGTGCGGGCCCTTGGGTTTCCATAGGGTATATAAGGGGTATATAAGGGAACCCTAAAGAAGGGCTTATATGAAGGGACCATGCAATGAACTGCCCAAAGAGACCTTTTCCCCCACAAACCTCCCAACCCCCTGTCAAATGTGCACCCAAAGGGCAGCGACTGCAACCCTCAGAACCCCCAAGCCCCAAAATTCCTAAATGGTGGTCTCCGATGTCAGGGTACCATATTGGGGTCCCTATTCAAAGGGAATTCTACGATTTAAGCCCTACACCCCTGAACCCAAGCCCTAAACCCTAGCCCTGGACCAAAAGACCGGCAGAACACGAACCCTCAACCCTCAACCCTCAACCCTCAACCCTCAACCCTAAACCCTAAACCCTAAACCCTAAACCCTAAACCCTAAACCCAAACTCCTAAAACTTCCACGGGTGCGGAGGTCTCGACCTTCGGGGTCATCAGCGATGTGCGGGCCTTTGCGCAGCCAAGTTACATGCAACGTGTTTGAGCTCACATCTGCCGTTAGGGTTTAGGGTTTAGGGTTTAGGGTTTAGGGTTTAGGGTTTAGACTTTAGGGTTTAGGTTTTAGGGTTTCGGGCTTAGGGTTTAGGTTTTAGGGTTTAGGGTTTAGGGCTTAAGGTGCAGCAGCCAGCGTATCGCAACCAGGGCAGAGACCCCCACGTGGTGGCATGTACTGAGAGCACTCTGACGTCACCGAATGCCGCCGCAGCCGTTTGCTTTTCGGACCCCCAAAGACCTGTGGGACGGGCCCATAACCGCGGCCATGGCCCTCATCTCCTACCACTATGAGGAGACAGGGCCCCCAGCAGGTCAGCTTGATGGCGTGTGGCTGAATGCAGATTGTCCATGGGAAGAATACACGGTCACAGGCCAGCGAGTGAGACGGAGCAACTCTCAAGGAATCCGGGAGTTCAGCATTCAGTGGGATCCAGCACGGCTCTCCTGGCAATGGGGAAGACACGGTCGCCTCAGCATGCAATGGCTTGGGGTGGATTCGATCGCATGGGTGCCAGATATGTCGTGTGAACACCACAACGGTCGTGTGTGGCGGTGGAGACGCGTTCAGCCCAGCACTCCTCCTGTCAATACCTTGCATGCACAAGCCCATCGGGATACCCGCGTGACCACCATGACCCATCATGCAAGAGACGTCCACCGCCCACCTCGTGAGCAGCGGCGGCCCAGTCGAAGCCGGAGTAGGGGCCGCCACTGGCACAGCCATGGCAGACACAGCCACGGCCGGTACCGCAGCCGCAGGAACTTCACGGACGCCCAGCTTCCATGTGGCTTGACGCACCGCGAGGTCTACAGTCTACTCTCCCGTGAGATTACGCCCGAGGATTACGAGATGCTCTTGCGGCTCGATGAGTTTGTTCCCAAGGGAAAGGTTGCCACGGAGGAGGAAACCAATGAAGCTCTCCAAACCATTCCGGTGCACGAGGTTCTCGGTAAAGAATGTCCGATTTGTCTTGCCCCATTTAAGGAGGCAGAGAGTGTGGCAGCAGTGCCCTGTTCACATACATTTCACAAAGATTGCATTTCTACTTGGCTCTCCAACTACCGGAGAACTTGCCCGCTGTGTTGCACGGAGCTCGAACGAGCCTAATATTATTCTTGTGCAGAACCGTGCTGCGCGATGTGCGCTATGCTGAGCACTCTTCCGTTCACTCAGGGGGCAGAGTTGACAATTATTTTTGGTAATTGGCACGGCTTGATTGACCCGAGCCATACACTTGTGCATACTTCTGAAAGCTACGAGCGCGGCTACCCGAAAGGGGACGCTGGAGCTCATGGTGGAACTTCCTTCTAAGCTCAGCCATGTTGTTGTTCGTTCCCTTTGGGCACAATCACTGTGCAAGCAGCTAGCTGCAACGTTCCGTTGCAGCGCATGTACATAGTATTTTACAGGATGCGCTCGTGCATCTGGGCTGCTTAGCTACCAATCCCCAGCTTGCACGCGTGAGGAAGGTGCAAACGCATCTTGCTTGCTTGGTCAAACCACACGCGTGCACGAATAATCAGGAATCAAAGCCAGGTGGATTGGGTAGTGTGAGCATCGCAGCTGGAGGGGGTTGTTCGAGGAAGGCGTTGGGGAAAGACTTGCAACAGAGATTTGATGGACGGCGAAAGGAAAAATGCGGCTATCACATGCGCTTGCCTGCGACAGCAGCGAATCTGCATGCACCACTCAGCTTGCTTGCATGTGGCCGTAGAGGCAGCATTCTAAAGCCTCTACCCTCAACCCTCCACCCCAAACCCTAAACCCTAAACCTTAAACTCTAAACCTGAAACCCTAAACCCTACACCTTTGCCACAACAAGAATCAGGCTTCTCCTGTGTGCTGCGCATGCGACCTCCACCCAGGTCTCGCGGGCCGAGCCTCGGACTTCACGGCGGGGAGCTCGGCACAGGTGGTGGGTTCAGGGTTTAGGGTTTGGGGTTTGGGGTTTAGGGTTTAGGGTTCAGGGTTTAGGGTTTCAGGTTTCAGGGTTTTGCCTTGTCTGGGTGGCATGTTGGGATGTTCCCCCTTATAACTATAATCCCTATTAAGGACTGTTAGTATAGGGGGAACATCCCAAGTGGTGGTTTGGGAGGTGCAGGGGCTTGGGTGCCTAATTTGGGAATTTGGGCTGAGAAGGGTGTTGGGAGTTTGTTCTGGGGCTTTCAGGCTTTAAAACCCTAAAGCCTAAACTCGTCATGACAAACTTTGAGTTCAGAGGCGGTTCCCAAACATCATGGGGACGGAGGGGATGCTGGTGATGCCCTCGGCGTGTTCGAGTTAGGGTTTTCCGGGTTCTGTTATAGAGTTAGGGTTTCCGGGTTCTGTTATAGGGCCTATAAGGGTGTTTTCCTTTGGGCAAAGGCCTGGTTACAAAGCAATTCAATTGGGCGGAGAATATACAGCTGAGGCATGCCATGCACTCTTCCGAATATGAGGGCGCGCAGCTTAGATTCTGTGTTGGGCTTCTTGTACCTTCGATTTTATAATGTCGCTCCTTGCCCATTCCAAGGAGTTACTTTTCATGACCGGTATGAGCGGTGGCAGGCAAAGCTCGGAGCATGGTGAGCTTGAAGGTTGCGTTGAAGGGAACCGTTGAAGGCAGTTCCTTCCTTGATCAATCAGTTTTCGGCGGGAGAGGCGTTTCTAGAGGCACCAGCGCAGCTACAGCGGAAACACGTTGACATGAATTCCATGCCATTCTCCAGCCAGACATCAGGTTTCATGTACATGTACACGCGCAATGTGTGAAGGTTCGTAGTGGTGGGGTTGAAACACTGATACATGGTCCTCTTCCTGTCATGATCATTATCCGTACTGTCGCTCGCATCACTTCCAACAACATACGATTGCCGTCGCCACTTCCGCCGTCAATGCTCACATCACAACCACCACCACCACCACTACCACCACCACCACCACCACCACCACCACCACCGCTATGTCTGGCAGATACTGTTGCTGCTCCGTCTTGTTGCCACCCCACCCCCCACTACTGTTACCAGCGTTGCTTCTTCTAGAATACTTCCCCCGCCACCACAACCTCATTCCGCGTTTACCGCGTTTACTTGGCAGTTTTTTTTTGTTTTTTTTCTGGTCCCTGTTGCGGTACTCTGAATATCAGGCTCCGAATTGCAATCCCTAACCCTAAACCCCAAAAGGGAGCTAAATCTAAAGAGCTTAACTCTAATTTTGCTGCGAGAGGCGCACGTCGTGGACCCAGAGCACACGGCACCCCTGCAGCACTGTAGCCTTCAGAAGGGCGTAGGGTTTAGGGTTTTGGGCGTAAGCTTCAGGGTTTAGGGTTTAGGGTTTAGGGCTTAGGGCTTAGGGCTTAGGGCTTAGGGCTTAGGGCTTAGGGCTTAGGGCGTAGGCGGCGCAGGGCGTAGGGTTTGTAGGGCTTAGGGTTTAGGGTGTAGGGCTTTCAGGGTTGATATGGTCCAAAAGATCCACGCACATAGAAGGTTCTTCTCCACACTCCGCACAGCCACGGTGCTGTTTACCAAAGCCCTGAAGCCTAAACTACTACCAGGGTTTAGGGTTTAGGGTTTAGGGTTTAGGTTTTAGGGTTTAGGGTTTAGGGTTTAGGGTATGGGGTTTGGGGTTTGGTGTTTAGGGTTTAGGGTTTAGGGCTACTACCAGGTAGGCCCTTGGGACATTTATACTTTTCCCTTTATTGGGTTTAAGAGGATCATATTTAGGACTATTTTTGTCAGAGGGTCTTAAGGCCATCCTAGTAAAGACCCTGAGTACCCACAAGAGCCTTTGCCTTAAAACACTTAAGGCTCTTAATACCCTTAGCACCCTTCATACCCCTTAGTACCCGGTAATGCCCTTAGACCCTAAATCCTAAACCCTAAACCCTGACCCTAAAGCCTAAACCCTCGACCCTAAACCCAGTATAGGAGCCGCTGAGCCTGGGCCTTTTCAGCTCGGAGATGGATGCTGCAAAGGCGGGAAGAGACTTCTACGATTTGCTTCAGACTCCCCCCCCCCCACAAAAAAAGAGAGATACCAATCCCTCCATTGTCCTCAGAATAAGGGAGATTTTTTTTTTTTTTTTGGGGGGGGGGGGGGGGGGGGGTGGGGGTGTTCTTAAGTAATTCGTAGACCTGCGACACCTCCAGGGTTTAGGGCTCAGGGTTACTAGTAGGGCTTTTGAAGGCTTGCGGGTTAAGATATGTTAAGATTCAGATGTGGTTCTATAGGGCTTAGGGCCCTAAAGGCCTGTTGGATTTTAGGGGTTTCTGGTGCTACAGGCTTCATGTCAAGTGTTTTATATAGGGTTTAGGATCTCGGGATCGCAAGGGGTTTGGGTGTAGGGCATAGGGCCAAGGGACAGCGGCTTAGAGGGCCGTAGGAGTTCAGGGTTTAGGGTTTAGGGTGAAAGGATCGTGTTTGGTTTTCTTGGGCTTTTGGGGATTTGAGGGCGTGTGGTTTGGAGCCTGACGGTTGTCGACCGAGTTTTTGCTTCGCCTCTTCGTGTGGGGGACTTCGTTGCTGACTTCTGCAGCAATTTAGAAGGTTGTTTGGGTGTGAAAGGTCCCATAACCTTTCGGAACTCTTTGGCCCAACTTACTTGAATTTCTGTCGCGGCGCCTCGTTTGCAGGGGAAGCTTTGTGCAATGTCAGCTTGTTTGAACAACAACCTTGTCTTTTGAGAATGGTCTGTTGGCAGGCCAAGGGGTTAATATAGGGGTCGGGAAAATTACTAGTAGTATTCCCTTACGGTCCCTACATGATCATACTAGAATAGCTTGGGATGTTCCCCCTTATACTAACAGTCCTTGATAGGAATTATAGTACCCCCTATTATAATCCCCAGTAAGACTGTTAGTACAAGGGGGAACATCCCAAATAATGGCCCCAAATGCCCTATTCTAATTGTTAATGCCCCTGTATTAGACTGAACATGTCAGGGCTTTCTGACTTGGAAATCTGCTTGGAGACACATATTGACACATCGAAACTGCAGGTTCCCAATCGAAGCACATGCAATTTCTGCGTATCCTTGCCTTGAGGTGTTTTGGGGGTTTGGGGGCTTATGGTGGTGCACTTCTAGCTAGAGCCGGCAACCGCGGCTTTTTGGCAGAGAGTTACTTTCACTTTGAGGGCTGTAGAGGTTGAGGTAGTGGTAGTGGTAGTAGTGGTAGTAGTGGTTGTGGTAGTGGTAGTGGTAGTGGTAGTAGTAGTAGTAGTAGTAGTAGTAGTAGTAGTAGTAGTAGTAGTAGGAGGAGTAGGTGATTCGGGCGGGGTGGGAGGGGGAGGATGGCCAAACCCCAAACCCAAAAACAGGGTTTAGGGCAGGTTGAGGGATTTAGTGATCAGGGTGTAGATTGTTTTTTGCAATAATGTAGACAAGGACTCTAAAGAAGTGGTAGCCAAGTTTCTAAAGAAGTGCCTTGGTGATGCTTGACCTGCTGCACATCCTCTGGAGGCTTACGACATGGGAGTGGTCGCCGTGAAGGCACTATAGCTTCTGGGTCGTTGGGTTTTAGGGTTTAGATTGTAGGGTTACTTGAGCCCATAAGCCACAACCCCCTAAGCAAAGCTCGCCAGTCCTTCGCAATAGGACGTTGATTTGACGCGACAGCTTTCCTTCCTGCGCAGAAGCAACACAAGGGCTGGGTGAAATTGAAATAAGCGCTGAATATGCGAAGGTCGGGAGGAACATATCACATGAACAGAGACTAAGGACTCAAATGAGGGTGGACCCCGAACCCTTACCATGGAAAGCAAGCCTTGTCTTAAAGCCCTGGAAGCCCAGCACCTGAACCCTAAACCCTGATCCCTAAACCCTCAACTCTCGACCCTCAACCCTAAGCCCAAGCCCTTAGACCCCTGCGCTTTGAACCAGGCGGCCGACAGCCCGGTCAACTTCCCCAGGAAGAAGTACAGCCCGCGCGACATCGCCCGGGCCCTGGTCGAAAGAAGCTCGAAGCCCAAGAGGTTGGGATGTCAGGTTTGGGGTTTAGAGTCTGGTGGTTAGGGGTTAGCGTTTAGGGTTTGGGGGTTAGGGTTTAGGTTGGGAATGTTTTTGCATTCGCCCTCAAAGATTGTCACACAATGGTCGGGAACTCTAGTGTTCACCAGGGTGCAGTGTTTCA